TGATCAACTTCTCACCATCACGGCCACTTGAAGGAGAAATTCCAGAAGAAGTCTGGACAGGTCGAAAAGCGGCCTATAATCAACTGAAAGTGTTTGGATGCCGAGCTTTCGTGCATATCCCTAAAGATGAAAGGGTCAAACTCGATGCAAAGACTAAAGAATGCATTTATCTTGGTTCGCCGAGATGTGAGTTCGGGTTCCGACTTTGGGATCCAATCAATAAGAAGATCGTGAGAAGCCGAGATATGATCTTTCATGAGCATAAGAACATTCATGACATCTCGAAGCCCAAAGTCCGGGTTACTGTCAGACGCGAAGAACCCAATCCTCTTGTCTGAGCTGAAGCAGGGGGAGAAAATCTAGAGAATGAAGAAACTGATGATCAGCAACAAGCTGAAGATGACCAAGACACTGAGGTCCGAGTTGATGAGAATGATGAACCGGGTTCTCAAGCTGAAGAACAGCTGAGATATCCAACTCGAGAAAGAAGACCCTCTACGGTGAGCCTCAGAGTTATGATGAGGCTGTGATGAGCTCAGAGAAAGAAGAATGGAAAAAGGCAATGGAAGACGAGATGAAGTCTTTGCACGAGAATCAGACTTATGAGCTGACCGAGTTGCCTAAAGGAAGACGAGCTTTGAAAAATAAATGGGTCTACAAGATTAAGAATGAAGAGAACGGGCAAAAGCCGAGATACAAAGCCTGGATTGTAGTGAAAGGCTGCAATCAGAAGAAAGGAGTAGACTTTGAGGAGATTTGTTTTCATGTGGTGAAAATGACCTCGGTCCGAACCGTGTTAGCCATGGTGGCTTCGATGGACCTCGAGGTAGAACAAATGGACGTGAAGACGGCATTTCTTCACGATGATTTAGAAGAAGAAATATATATGGAGCAACCAGAAGGGTTCCAAGCTCCAGACCAAGAAGACTTGGTATGTCGGTTGAAGAAGAGCCTCTATGGCTTGAAGCAAGCACCTCGGCAGTGGTACAAGAAGTTTGAATCATTTATGACTGATCATAAGTTTGAGAAGAATGAAACCGACCACTGTGTATTTGTGAAGAGGTATGAGGCTGGAGATTTTCTGATATTGTTGTTATATGTTGATGACATGCTGATTGTAGGGAAAGAAAAATCGAGGATAGCCGCTCTGAAGAAGGCGTTGAGCTCGTCCTTCGCAATGAAGGACCTCGGCCCTGCAAAGCAGATTCTCGGAATCAAGATCATTCGAGATAGACAGAAGAAGCTACTGTGGCTGAGTAAAGAGAAATATATTGAAAAGATTCTGAAGAGATTCAGCATGGACAAAGCCAAAACAGTGAGCACCCCCCTAGCCGGACACCTAAAGCTGAACCAGAAGCAATGTCCGAGATCTGATGAAGACAAAGATGAGATGATGAAGGTCCCTTACCAATCCGTCGTCGGAAGCTTGATGTATGCAATGGTTTGCACTAGACCCGACTTGGAGCATGCTGTTGGAATGGTAAGCCGGTATTTGTCAAACCCCGGCAAAGAGCACTGGGAAGCAGTGAAGTGGATCTTTAAGTACCTCCGAGGTACAACCGACTTATGTCTCCGATTTGGAGAAGGCAAAGCCGAGTTGCAAGGCTACTCGGATTCTGATTTAGGGGGAGACGCTGACTCGAGGAAGTCGACTACAGGATATTTGATGAGATTTGCCGGAGGAGCTATCTCTTGGCAATCAAGACTTCAGAAATGTGTTGCACTATCGACAACTGAGGCTGAGTACATTGCCGCTACTGAGGCAAGCAAAGAAATGTTGTGGATGAAGAAGTTCCTCATGGAACTCGGCCATGATCAAGACAAGTACGAGCTGGGTTGTGACAATCAAAGCATAATCCATCTTGCGAAGAATTCGACTTATCACTCCCGCACTAAGCATATTGATGTGAGGTATCACTGGATCCGGGATGTGGTGGAAGGTGGTGAGCTCGAACTCGTCAAGGTACACACTGACCAAAATTGGTCCGACATGATGACAAAGCCGGTTCCAGCAAGAAAATTTGAAGACTGCTGTGAAGGAGTCGGGTTGATGCTGAAGCCGACGCATTGAAGTCGGAGGGGGAGATTTGTTGGGCTTCCCCCTTCAATGCTAAGCCCAAGCCCATTTGAGGGGTTTCCTAAAAACCCTAACCCTAATTTCCACCTCCTCTATATATGCTCATTATTTGTGGGTGGAGGCTAGGTTAGATTTGAGAGAACAAATTTGAGAGAATTATTTGATTGTTTGAGCAAAGCTTTATGCTTTGCATTTGAGAGATCTCTAGAGAGAGTTTGAGTGAAACATTTTTAGGGTAGTTTGATTATCACCATTGTTGGAGAGGTTGAGTTAACCACCACATTGGTGTATTTGATTCTTTGTAACCATTATTTTCATAGTGGATTTTTTGATCTGGACTAGGTCCCGTGGGTTTTTACTTCTTCATTGAAGAAGGTTTTCCCACGTTAAATCTGATTGTGTTCTTCTTCTCTCTCTCCTGTTTTCGTTTTGATTTTCCGCTGCGCTGCCTGACCTGGTGAAGTTCAGGCCGAGGTATTGCCGAGATCCGAGATCAGGATCTTGCTGACCGACTTCAGCAAAAGGCCCCTGAGCCGAGCTTGAGGGAACTTAGTTCCCAACAATAATTTCTTATTTTGATAACCTGGTGGTTCATAAACAAATTATACAGGTAGCACTAAGATGGATATACGAGCAAGAGGCAAGTGCCATTGTGACGAGCTTCAACAAGGAGAGGATGAAACAAAACCTTTTAATATTTGATTGGGAACTGAGTCAGGAGGAATCACAGAAAATCAGACAGATTCCACAGCGTAGGATGTTTTCTGGAGAACAATTTGTATCAGAAAATGGGCCTTTCAAGTCCTTGGAAGAACTGTGGGATGGTGACCCCTGAAATCAATCCTTGTAGCAGCAAAATGTCATCAAATATATGTATGTGCACAACTTCATACCAATGTCGTGGATTTATAAATATGTTGATTGGGTTTGCACTTATGTATAGTTTTAGGTTTATGCTATGTCTACGTATTTGACTTTGAGATTTAGATATTGAGGTAGGATATTTATACTATCAATTATTTCTATTATCACTCTACTATAACTATGTACTTTGGGGAGTACATCAAAAATTGTTTTTCTTTTCTTTCTTTTCAAAAACTTTTCAGATATTGTCTGTTGAAAAGTGGGATCCAACAATGATTAGAGTGATAATAGAAAAATGGGATAGTAAAAATATCACCCCTCCTAGATATTATATGTTGGCATTTAGCAGTGAACAACTTCAAAGTGTTATAAACTATCAACAACTTTAAAATAAAAAAGGAATATGAGTGATATTATGCGAACAAAGTGATGAGCAATATTTTATCAATCAAGCTGTGCAAGAAAAAACGTTGGAAGTAAAACTCAATATATGAGAATGTTATACCCTGATAAAAATAATTTCTCTATTGAACATTTCTTCTGATGATTTGATTTCATGGCAAGAAAAGAAAATATAAGTAATTTCTCATGAAAGAAAATATGTTTGTCGTTGAAATACTTGCTTAAACCGTTTCTTTTTCTTTCAGATTTCAGGTTTAAAACACTTCCAATTTTTATTTTATATTTTTTGTGAAGGAGGGTGCTTGACAAGAAAACGAATCCTCTCATATTTTTTTTATTTAACATGATCATATTATATGGAAGAATCTTAACCATATAAAGGTGAATCAACACTAATGATTTTGTAACTACTTATTTTAATATTTTTTCTCTCTCTTATCTTATTATTATTGATCCATGTTTGTATGATTATGATTCTCTCATATAATATGGTCATTTTAATAAATATCATCTTTGTATGATTATGATTCTCTCACATAACATGGTCACGTTAATAAATACATGATAGGATTCACTCCCCAATTGACAATGAGGATTGGCATATCTAATCCACCATTTTGCCCACGTTCGAGGTGGTTTATATTCGATTCTAAGATTTTTCTCTGTCTCTGGTCTTGCAAGCGATGTGCTTTCTCATCTAAACTTTTTATCTAAAGAAACAAAGGGTGCTTAATTAATGAATTAAATACTTCTTCCTTCATTGTTCATATCTTAAGAAGGAAGAAACAAAGTAGGGGAAGGATCCGTATACAAATTTTTTTTACAAATTACACTAAGTATGACCGGTCATACACTCTTGATTAAAGTATAACCGGTCATACTTAGTGTAGTTTGTAAGAGTTTGTAAATAAAAAATTTATAAATATAACCTTCCCCAACAAAGTATTATTAATTTGTGGAATGTCAACGACGGGATATGCTTTAAGCCTTAAAAAAAAACAAATCATTCATTTTTATTCTTTTTTTCTCTTTCAGTCTATCTATTGACTTTAAGCAAATCAAGTTGTCAGAGTACCACAATTATATTATATTCTTGTTATTAAACTTTAAATAGAATAACAGAAAATAATAATACAAAAAAATATTAAACTTCAAAAAAGTCACCAGTTTATTTTGATTTTTTTCCTTATTTATAAATCTTGACTAGTCATGATGAATGGTGTCTGTTGGCAGTGAAGAGTCGTGACTATTCGAAGATAAAAAGTCATACTTGTTCACTAGTAATAGCTAAACTTTAAATAGAATAACAGAAATTAATAATACAAAAAAATATTAAACTTCAAAAAAGTAACTAGTTTATTTTGATTTTTTTCTTTATTTATAAATCTTGACCGGTCATGATGAATAGTGCCAGTTGGCCGTGAAGAGTCGTGACTGTTCGCCCGTGAAAAGTCATACCTGTTCACTAGTAATAGTTATGTTTGTCCAACAATGTAAAGACACATCTCTTCGCACCCAACTTCTTATTCATACCATTTGAATTCTATAAAATTTCTAACAATTCAGACCAAACATCTCTCAACTCACTGAGTACATATCAGAAACACCTATACATATTGTAGTCACATTTTACACAAACCAAACACACTGAGAAAATATGGAAGCAAAGAAAATCCCAGAGGTAACACTAAACTCAGGGAAAAAGATGCCACTAATAGGCCTAGGAACTGCAGCACATACTCTTCCACCACATGCAGCTCTCACCTCAATCTTCATTGATGGCTTTGAAGCTGGATACAGACACTTTGACACTGCTTCTTTCTATGGAAACGAGGAGCCTCTAGGAAAAGCTGTGGCAAAGGCTTTAGAGCTAGGCCTTATAAAAGGCCGTGATGAAGTCTTCATCACTTCAAAACTTTGGTGCACTGATACACAACATGACCTTATCCTTCCAGCACTAAAAACCACACTGCAGTTGAGTATAACCCTCTTCCCAAGTTTGTTAATTTCTCTATTTGTAATCTCCCTCTGGATGATGCTTGTTTTCTAAGTTTCCTTGAAACTGTTTAGGAAGCTGGGACTGGAGTATGTGGATCTCTATTTGATTCATTGGCCAGTGAGGCTGAAACCTGGAGTTGAATTTTTTCATATGTCAAAGGAGGATGTGCTGCCCTTTGACATAAAAGGAACATGGGAAGCTATGGAAGAGTGCCATAGATTAGGTTTAGCCAAGTCTATTGGTGTCAGCAACTTTGGCATCAAAAAGCTCAACCAGCTCTTAGAAAATGCTACTATCCTTCCTGCTGTCAATCAGGTATGAAAATTTAGCAAAGGAAGCTTGATTTTGACACAGTGATGAACACTTGTTGGTGATCCCATTCAATTGGTTTTAGGTGGAAATGAGCCCATCATGGCAGCAGGGGAACCTTAGAGAATTCTGCAAGCAGGAAGGAATCCATGTGAGTGCATGGTCACCACTAGGAGCTTACAAAACTTTGTGGGGTTCAAATGCAGTGATGGAGAACCCAATCCTTACGAAAATCGCTCGAACAAGGCAGAAGAGCGTGGCTCAGGTGCTCTTACCATCTCAGTCTTAAACTACCCTGCATTATAACTTTAGTAACCATGAAGTTTTAAACTTTTAAGTAAAGGAGTAAACCAATAGGTTCATTTCTTTTTAGTAAATAGATTTCTTTGCATATTTTCTTGTTTGATGAGAAAAATGCTTTTTTCTCCTTGTCATTCCACAAAGCAACAGTTCAAATTGAGAGTGTTATGGATCCCTCCTGGTCATGTTGTCCGATGCTTCGCTTATCTACAAACACCAACAGTTCAGTCTCCATTTTCAGTTTAATTCAATATCAAATTACTGATAACATCAAACACTCACTCTAGTAGTCTTCCCTTCTTTCTCCTCATGCAGCTCATCCTCAAAAACACTGATACTTATCCTCTACAAAGGCACTAATATTTCATATTAGAATCCTTAAGTTGTTAAGTAAAGCAACAGCCAACCTCATCATTAGATGTACACTTGGGCTTAGCCTCTACGAAGTATACGTAAGAACAGGGAGAAACAAGTTGCCAAGTACATATGTGAAGTGTAACATTTCTTAATTTCAAATATTTTCAACCATTTAATAATAATAAAATATTATGATTTAATAAAAATAAAATAGTCTGAAGTCTAACATTTTTTATGTGGACATAATTTCTCATTTTGATAACCAGGTGGTTCATAAACAAATTACACAATTATGTTCATCAAGGGTAATATCATTGTCATGCAGGTAGCACTAAGATGGATATATGAGCAAGGGGCAAGTGCCATTGTGAAAAGCTTCAACAAGGAGAGGATGAAACAAAACCTTGAAATATTTGATTGGGAACTGGGCCAGGATGAATCACAGAAAATCAGCCAGATTCCACAGCGTAGGATGTTTTCAGGAGAACAATTTGCATCCGAAAATGGGCCCTTCAAGTCCTTGGAAGAACTGTGGGATGGAGACCCCTGAAATCATTCCTTGTAGCAGAAAAATGTCATCCAAATATATGTTTGCGTATAACTCCATACCCATGGAGTGGATTTATCAATGTTGCCAACCCATTTAATGGGATAAGATTTGGTTATTAACTTGTTATGGCTGTTTTGTTGTATTGTTAGTAACTTTTCCTTAACGTAACTGTTCCGGATGACTTAACCACATCCGAAGCCCAAGGGCCTTGTAACGTAGATGGCCCAGTTTCACAGAGCCCCAAACAACCTGAGCCCAGTACCCCAAGTTATGTACACGTCAGCCCTACCAGTTGGCCCTAGACGCATGCCCCAAGGCAGCTCGCCTCCCAAGGTAAGACACCAAAATGTCTTACCTTGGAACCCCATATGCTCTGTGGATCGCCCAGAGACCATAAGTGGAAGCCGCCCTGCTGCCGCATGCTGACATCGCCCAAGAGCAGACCCTGCATCGCTGCAGCGCCAGGCGTGTCAGCTCCTCACAACGAATCCCAAGGAGCGTTGACCTCCAATACGTAAGCCCTAACGGATCAGACTCCTGGACTCCTATAAATACCACCCTTGGGCACAAGGGAAGGATCTACCTTTTATCTACTGTTATTATGCCCATTTACTTCTTAGTTATACTCTTCTTATCTGTCTGTCATTAATATCAGCTTGCTACCCCTTGGAATATTACCTCCTAGCCTGGTCTTTACCTCAGCTAGAGGTATAATCCATATAGTGACATTACCCTCAAGGGTACATAGTGGGCTCGTTGTATCGAACGGTACAGTAAGTAACTAGGATCTATCCATCCAAATATTCAAAGTGAGGGAGATTAGTCTCTAATAAAAACTCACTTTATTCTGTCCTACTCCATACCCATAAATATGAATTTATAAAATCATCACCGTTAGGTATTTCACTTCCGAAGGGAGCTGCCATAGTTTGCAGCAAGGGCTTGTAGTTTTATTTTAGGGAAGAAGAGTGAGTTTCTGTCATTGAGGTTTTGTATCAAATAGATTGTGAGTAATGAAACAAATATCACAAAAAAAAAGCTTTTGGCTTCGATCATTCAAGCTCTAGGTTCCATCCCACATGATCATGCTAATTGCTCAAAGTAAATAACACTGTAATATCATGTATAAATGTTTCATCAAGTGAATTATCAAATGAATTAACCCAACTCAAGAATTCATACATATTAATATAGAACCATCAAAATCAAAATCAGCATTATACAAAAGATGAAATAAAAACATAATGTATAGCAATCCTAAAATTCATCAAACCGAAAGAACTATGTTACCGTTTGCAAGGTGAAATATAAACCACCACTTAGAAAGAAAAAAAATCCCTTTCTCTTTCAATTCAAAAGCGATAAACTGCGACTCCTATCCCAATATATAACATACTTACGTGGTGCCAGCGGGGGAAAAAAAAAACAATGATGAAAGTGGAGTTCTTTTAAAAATTACTCATCAATAAGTATGTCGAACCAAACCCTTAGGCATCATTGTCCACTTTGTTGGCTAAGAGAAATAATTTTATCTTTAAGAAACTTTAAACCCATGTCTTAATAGAGCATAACATAAAAAAAATCCTGGTACTTAAAACAGAATATCTTTAAGATGTAAAATGTAATATTTGTAAAGGTAATGATTAAGATTAATTAGATATTTAAAAAAATAATGATTAGATTTTTTAGATATTTATAAAGGTAATGATTAAGATTTCTTGATATTTATAAAGGTAATGATTAGATTCCTTAGAATTTTATAAAAAGTAATGATTAGATTCTTTTTTTTTTTTTTGGACAAGTTACATTTCTTTTTGAAAACTATATAATCCCCCGAGAGAAACTTAAGGGTACAAAGAAGAATAAGAGAGAGAAAGAGAAGGAAATAAGAAAAGAGAGAAAGAAAGTAGGAAAGAAAGAGAGAGAGAGGGAGAGAGAAAGAAAGAAAGAAAGAGGAAGAAGAAGAGGAGGAAGGGGAAGAGAAAGAGAAAGAAAGAAGAAAAAGAAAAGAGAGGGTAATATTGGGAGTAAGCAACGCATTCTCTCCTTTACTTTTAAAGTTGATTTTTAGATATTTTAGAAAGTTATGTTGGTTATGTTTTTATCTATATTATGTTGAAAGTTGATATTTTAAAGTTATTTCTTTAAAAGTTGTGAATATGTCGTTACTCTGCCAAAATTATTTTATGAATTCTTTCTACTCTTTTACTTTATTTTCTATATTTGGCTTTGTGAATTTGATGAATTTACTTATATTAGATATGAGAATAATTTTGAATCAAGATTATAGAAATTAAAGAATTTCTTTGGTACCAAATGAATACTAATGGAATATATAATTTTTTACTGAATGATTCTGATGTGACTGACCCACAAGGGGATCAGAATGGTTATAGGGTAAGAGACGTCTTATCATGGCTTGAGCTCCGCCATACAGAACCTTTCACATACAGAACCCACAAAATTTGAGCACTTACAGAATTGAGCGTTAGTCATTTCAGTTAAAGATTACACATTCCTATATATGTTTGTATACAGAAACTCACAAATTTTGGGTAGAACCCACAAAGGTTTGTGTATGACTAAATGAAGAACCCTCAAAGGTTGGGCTTATATTTATTGTTTATGATATTTTCTTATTATAAATTTTATTCTCTGACAATGATATTTTCCACTAAAGTGGCTGGATTGGTTATAGTTCGAAATTCCCAATATTACTGAGATTTATCTCACGTGTGTTTGTTTTTATGCTAACCTTTTCAGAGTAAACAGACCAGTATATGTAGCTTTGGAGTAGGATAAAGCACTATGGCTAAAGACTTTGAAGACTATATGGAGCTTAGTAGAGCAAATTAATAGAAAGAAAATGTTTCTTTTCAGTTTAGATTATGATGTATTTCTGATGTAATAGTGAACTTAAATTCTGTATAATTAGATTTTATGAATATAATTTTGTTATATGACTTATTTCATATTCGTTGCATTAGAATTTCATTATAATTCTCGTTCTCTTATTTAAAATAAGATTTAAGAATTAATGTGATATCCTCTATTCTAATCAATTGCAGAGGATGTTACATAAAAGTTTTATAAAATATAAGTATGACCAAATGTTTATAGGATCGGATAATTCAACTAACATTACAAATGCTAATGGAGACCAAGGTCACATGATCGAACATTACAAATTACAAGTCAAACCAAATCGTTGACGCAAATTGAGGTGACCATAACTTGCACACACAACATTATAGAATAATTCAAATTAAATACATATGCTAATTTACAAGAAGAAGAAAAAGTTGGTTGGAGAGAAAAGATTAGAAGACACACAGTACGAGGCTTGCTTGATAAGATTCATGATAATCATCGTAAGAGATCCAAACATAAGTTTCCCGTTCATATAAATTTCATGAAAAGCAGTGCTAGCATAGTTTGCGTAGCTACTATGAATGATATGCTTAGCTCATAAATCTTCACGCTTCCACCTCCCAAAGGTTCATTCCCTCCAAGAAGTGCTGGTGGTGGTGGTGGATTGTTTGGTTCATCGCTTGAAACTAATTGAGATGGTGGTGGTGATGGTAGGTTACTTGGAGAATCATTGAGAGGCTGACACTTCATTCCCGAAAGCCAATTATTTGTTGTGCTAAAATAAGCATATGAACGTTAGAAATTAAACTACAAATTAAGGGAACAAATATCTATATGAATAATTTCAATCATTACAAGTGATAAAGGAGTTTGTTTCCCATAATCAGAAATCTCGAGTTCAAATCCTCGTGACGGAGAAAAATGATTTTGGAGAAGTCACCCAGGTCATTGGTGCGTGAACCCGGCTAATCGATCAATCAATGAACCAATAGATATATAAAGAAAAAAAAAATCCCAATCATTCGTTCGTAAGTAAACAATTAAAATGACCATTTTTTATTTAATTTCATTAACTTGGTCATTGTGACCGTTGATGTATCAATAATTAAACCAAAATTTCTCACATGAGATAATCGTGTTATGACAAAGACATAGAAAATCCAAGTATTAGTGTGATATAAGTGTTTAGAAAACATTGATTTTGACAGGCCAGAGAGAATTAATGTTCTACTCTTAACTGGGGGTCATTATCCAAAAAGCAGAGAAAATTCCAACTTACTCAATTTTAATGTTCTTGTTATTTAGAGAAGCAGGTATGGAACCATTGAACCGATTGTCAGACAAATTCCTGCACAAAGAATGGGAAAAGTTTTCAATGTAGGGCTCAAAGAATGTGTTGCATTTGTTGAAACAACAACGTAAATAAGAATGAAACTTACAATGTCTTGAGATTAGGCAGATGACCTAGGAAATCAAGAATGGGGCCTTCTATGGTATTGTTATGCAAATCACTGCAATTCAGAGAAGTTTATTTTGTCAAATAATTAGAAAGCTATTGGTTGATCAATTTAGAAGAGAAGGAAAAAAGCCTTCTTTTGGGTTTTGTAAGCATCTCACATGGTTTCAAGTGCATTCATGGAACTGAAATCCGGAAGTATGCCCTGCAGCTCATAACCACTAAGATACCTATTTTTTTTGTAATCACATATATATCGCAAAATTAGTAGCTATTATAGATAATTTCCAAACTTTAATAGGAGGAATTCATATTATTATTATTTTCATTTATCAACCGATATTTGAAGTCCTAAGAGGCTCAACTAGTCCAGTTTCGGTTTTGAGACTCTTTATTATCTCGAGGAGTTGCGACTCTTAGGATCAAACTCACTATTAATTATTTGAACAAGTCAAATCGTAGAGTCTAACTTAGTCATACTAGACCAATAACTCTTGAACGAAGAAGTCATATTAACTTACAATGCTATAACACGAGGTGTGACATCAGTGGTGCATTGTATCCAATCCCAATTATACGGATATGGTAGACAAGGGTCTCCACTCCAGTCCACAAGCACTTCAAATGCCAACTTCAGTTGTAACAAACCTTCCACTAAATTCACAAAACAAAATCCAAAGGTTAAAGTGTGAATACAAAGTTAATAAAAAAAATTGAAAAAAAAAAAAAAAACTCTTGGTAAATTAGTACTTCTACAAAGGATGAGGAAGGGTATTTATATAGAAACAACAGAAAGAATGTATTCTTTTTTTTAAAAAGTAAAAATCAGCTCATAAAAAATGAAAGTTGAAAATAAAGATAAATATTTAAAAAGTATAAAAGTTTACATTTATGATATTCATTACAAGCAACAGACTCATTGTCGGAGCCATGTGTTGCCTGGGTGTGGTCTCGACCCGGGTTAAATTTTAACAAATTATACTTATTATATATAATTATATAATTAAATTATAATTTGACCGGGTTAAAATTTTAATTTAGCCCGGGCTACAATTTGTAATTTGGCCCTATCTAAAACTTAAAATATTTTTGGTAAAAGATTTGAGTAAGTTGTATTAGGTTATGTGTTCAATTTTCACTTATATAAAAAATATATATTTTTAGTAAAATTAAAAAATATTTAATAAAATTATAATTCTTCTCAGTGCTACCTGCTCAAGTGTTTTGTATTTAATATAATTTAAATATATTATGATATAAACTAACTAAAATTAAGAAAAATAAATACACATATAATTTTTTGGCCCGGATTCATATTGAAGCCCCGCACCGCCACTAAACAGAACTAAGATAAGAGATAAGATCCAATATTCTATCTCCCAATAATTTAACTATCACCAGGATTCTTGACCTATATATAGGTAAGTATATTTATAAATAATGGATTAAATCTATTAGGTAGACACTTTCTAACCCTGCTCTCTTAGTTGTCAACAAACCTCATGCCTTTAAGGCTTTAACTTCGTGCCTCACCACACATTCACGATCCCCTCAGATCAAAAAGTTGGAGAAATATGTATCATATTTTTATAGCAATATAACACACTTACCATCTCTGCTATCTGTCCCAGCAGTTAATGCATCACTTAATGTGTAAACTTCAAGAGCATTGAGTATAGGAGGAAGGGTAGAAGAGTCTGTAGCCTCCAGAACAAAGGAAGTGTCTGCTGAAGCAGTCATGTTGGTGATGTACACTTCTTCCACACTTCCAAAAGGTGGAACTATTGGACTTGAAAAGGTCTTGTTGTCTATGTACATTTGAATGGATCTTTTTCCAACTGCACTTTCCATCACTTCTGAGAAGTAAGTAGTGATGTAAATGGGAAGTTCCTCATTGGGAAGCCTATTGATAAACTGCATGAATTCATTAGTGCTCGAGGAAATAATGGCATTTTGCAGTGCAGCTTGTGGTGGATGATCTTCTGCTGTACTAATGTCAACTCGTGATGCCTCACTTTTGACTTCAGAAAGTGCTATACCAAATGCTGGCAGCCATATTCTATCAAAAGCGTCATCCGGGTACCTAGCATATTCCAATGGATGCAAAATAAAATAATTCCAAGCACCAAATTTTAGATAAAAGGACATTCATCAATATGTGTTTTAAAATAGTATTTTATACAGTTAAAATAAAGTGGTGCAATGAAATATTATTTAATTTTCACATTATATAAAAAAAATTGAACTTGGTTCGAGATCACTTCCAATCCCATTATCAAATTGATAAAAACTCAACATTCATAAAAGTCATTTAACAAAAAAAAAAAGTGTTTTAACACTACAAGAAAACAGCTATATTGAGGCGGTTATACAAGTAAACTGAGGCGGTTATACAAGTAAACTGAGGCGGTTTTAACCGCCTTGATTGCAACGCTAGGCTTCAGCAACTGCCTCAGTTACCACTGTCGAGACGCTAACTAGGGTGGTTAAAGGAAAGCGCTGGTACAACCGCATACGGATAAATAGAGGCGTACTTTTTGGCGGATATTAACGCCTAAGTTAGCAAGACAAGAATCTGGTTAGGAATCAAGGACTGTTCAGACTATGTATTACATTTGAAGGCCTTTTTAGAAACCGCCTCACTTAATAATTACTTGGGCGGTTTACGAAATCACCTGCATAAAACATTTTGAGGCGGTTACTAATTTACAGCCGGTTACTATAAACGTCTCCTAGACTGCCTCTGATAATTATTTGGAGGCGGTTCCGTTGAAATCGCCTCAGATATTCCGTCGTAGTTTACATTTTTTCTTGTAGTGTAAAACTTACCCTTTTGAATAACTAGATCCCTATACACATATACAGAGAACGAGGGGATTCAATTTCCAAGTTTAAAACGGTGTTTAAAAAATAATATAAAACTAATCGTGTTTAGACCTAATTGCTTAAGTTTTGGGGGGATTTGATTTATGATATGTTATTAATATTCTCCACCCTTCAAGTCCAAACAACTATTGTATTAGGGTACATGTTATAAATATAATATAATATAATAACTAAATTTTCATCCCTTGTGGTTATATGGTTTATCATTTACCCAATGTGATTTCAAACATGTTACTTAGACTCACTGTGATTGTAAAATCGTATCATTTGACCTGATGTGGTTTCAAAATATCACTTATATCCATCGTGGTTAACTAATTTTATCACTTAGACCTCTTGTGGTCTTATATATATGAAACTTTTCACATGTCTTAATTTTTATCTTATATTATTTTCATATTATAAATTAAAATTATAATAAGATTAAATATTAAAGATTAAAATAAAAATTATGTTTAAAAATATAATTTTATGTATCCAAAAATATAACAATTTATTTTTTAGTATATTAAAAATAAAAAATATTATTTAAGATATAAAATGGTACTATCTTAAACATTTATTTATGTTAAATAAAAAATTTAAAAAATTATTTATATGAATAATTATTCTAAATTTAAATTTATTTTTAATTAATAATCATATTAGTTAGATTCTTATGATCTTATATATGTAAAAAAAATTATTTTCCTTTTTATATTAGTATAATGATATAAATTAAAATTATAATGAAAATAAAAAATCTAAAATTATTTATTTGAAGATTATGGTAAAGTTAATAATTTAATTAAAAATTTCTTAAAATTAAAAAATATTATTTAAGGAAATCAAATACTTTTCATCTAATTTATTTAATTCATATAAATTAATATATTATAAAAAAATTAATTTATTTTTATCATAGAAATAAATTTAAGTCAAATATTGTTTTATTTTATCTATTCTTTTATCCTATATCATTATAATATTATAAAAAATAAATTTAAAATAAATATTTTATTAAAAAATATCTCTTTAATTTATATTAAATAATATTTTATTTTAAATATATTTTTCGAAAGAAATTATGATGATTTTCAAAATAAATAACTTTAAATTTTTTTAATATAATAATTAATTTTATGAAAAGTTTATTTGATAATATCATAATTATATAAAATATAAATTAGGAAAAATACATAACTTTATATTTTTATGACTAAGTGATATATTTTTATAAGCACTCTGATTGAAAGTTTAAAACCGCAAAGGGTTAAATGAAAAACTTATTTAAGCACAATAAATATGAATGATAAGTTTAATATTATAAGAGATCATGCGATATACCATGAAACTAGAAGGGGTAAAAATGAATTTTTCCTGAAATTAATTAGGGTTTAAGGGATATGTTATTTTACCTATTTTTTATGTCTATTTTACTTACCACTCTCCAATACCATTAGATCAGAATCGCAGCTAACCTTTATCATTTCTCTCTTATCTGATCTAAAGATGTTGGAGAGTGTAAGGTATACTTGAAAAAAAATAGATAGAATAACCTATCTCAGAGTGCTCAAAAAAAAATTTGCCACATTCACATAAAAGTGAGTGGGCCCCATAGCAAATAGAAGAGAAAGAAAAGATTAGTAGGACCCACTCATTTTTATATGAGTGTGATAGATAAAAATTTTCTCAAGCAAAAATAGAATATTTTTCTAAAATTATGTGTTCAAATAAGAACATAAGCTTTTGGGAGAATTGGTGATCATAGGTTATAATTTAACTTTTGAGTGAGGGATTCAAGCCACTTGTGATTGTCGAATGGGGAAAAAAAAGAAGGTATAATTGAGTTGTAATTCTGAATACCTGATAGTCTGATTTCCACCAAGAGCATATCTCCATTGCAAAAACAATGCATGATTGGAATCAACATGACTGTACATTGTAGTGTCCAAGCTGCGTACTTCAAGGGATGATATGAATGGAAGCTGGTTAGGCTTTGTTTGAGCAACACATATGCTGGTTAAGTTTCCTTTGGTTACATATATTGCTTCATAATCAACATAATCATAACTACTTGAGGTGTTGACAGTGGCCCAGTAGTTACCATCAAACTGAAGATCAAAGATGGGTGGAGATAATTTATTGTCATAATTCCCATAGTAAAAGCTTGCTCTAGTAAGAACTTTTTCTCCTTTTTTAACTCTGATGGAATAACAGTTCTTCTTTCTAGTTGGAAACACCCTCAGAGTGCTCAAAGGGTTAGAACCTGAATAGACTTGAATAGACTCACCATGTTGAATGTAGGCATCATCCCCAGTCCATCTTATATTATTTTCATCAGTGACAGATTCAGAGGATCCACAATCAATGCTTACAAAGACTGTAAGAGAAGGCTTTGAGAATAATAGCACCAAAAGTGCTATGGCTAAAAGAAGACTTGGAGGGTTTGTCATGGATGGTTGTGATGAAGAGGTTTATGAAAGGAGAAGATGATAACTAGCTTGAGTTTTGTGTTTAGGCTAAGCATGTTCTGATTATATATATAATGATGCCATCATAAGCTTCTTTAATATTGATATGCACATAGTTGACTAGCCAGCAAACTTGGTTTCCCAAGTTATTCTATTGTTGATTGGGTTTGCACTAGGGTATTTGGTAGATTTATGCTATGTATTCCTATTTGACTTAGGATTTAGACATTATATGTTGACCTTTAGCTGTGAAAAACTTCGAAATGCTATTAACTATCAAAAACTTAATTAAAAAAAAAATGGGCAAATGAAATGCATACAAAGTGGTGAGCAACTCCGATGCCCGGACACACTTTGGAAAAAAAAAGATGCATATCGGATATCGATAATTTTCGACACGCGGTCAATATTTTTCAACACGTGGTCAATACTTCAACACATTTCGGATTCGTAGTCAACATTTTTCGATACACAGTCAACGTATTTTAATACATTTTTTTTTAATATCCAAATTTTGTTTTATTTTATCTTTTTAACTAAACATGAAAAATTGATTTATAAATCAAATATTTTTTATTATGAAATTTGACCTGAAAAATTAACAAGACATGAAAATTATTTTTTCTTTATATTATGAAACTTGAACATGTGATTGATTATATGACTTATTATGAGCTGTTATATGTATTAAATGTAAATTATATTATATATATTAAAAATATTATTTAATATCAAAACATGTCCTAACATATCGAAATCTAACATTTTCTATAATTAATGTATAGGCGTGTCGTGTCGTGTTCCGTGTCCCGTCTCAGTGTCGGTGCAACATAGATGAGCAATATATGATCAATTTAGATGTGCAAATGGTAAGGGTGAGACTTGAAGCAATGGTCGTATGATTGTTCTCTGTAATTGGAAGGTTACGAATTCGAGTCTGGAAAAGTCTTTTTACAAAAATGTAAGAGTACATAGAGTTAACTCCTACTCCTATATTTACAAGTTTGGGAGCTTTGTGTACCGAAATTTGCTCTCTTTTTAATGTGCAAGAGACAATGTTGGAAGAAAAACTCGATAGGAGACAATGATATACCCTAATAAAAGTCATTAAGAAATAAATTAATAACAAATAAATAATACTCTCATTTCTTTTTTTTTGCAAGGAAAAAGTTTAAGTGTGGATAACTCCGGTAACCCATTAGAGAAGACCCCTCAACCTTAATTAGTTGACTACCAGAATGATTAACTTTGTTGGTCTAATAATACTCACCAATAATGATATTTCTGAAAGAGATTATATATCACCAACTAACAAAGTCCTCACATCAGCTACCAACAAATAATAATACTCTCATTTCTTTCTCTTATATTTTCTCTTTCTTTATCTCTAGTTGGCTTCAAACTTGTCCGACCACCGCAATTATATTATATCCCATATGACTATTAAACTTCAAACATAATAACAGAAATCAATAATCCAAAATACTCAATGCGTATGTTCAGCTCCACAGAGTTGACTTTAAACCTGTACCCAAAAAAAAAAAAAAAAGAGTTGACTTTAAACGGAATTTATAGTTGAACTTGCACGTTATTTGATAATAAACTTTCACCGGTAAGTATCAAACTATTTTTTTTTTCTTATGTTATTTAATCTTACCAGTCAAGCCAACCTATTAGTAAACAATTGAAAAACCATGACTGAGGTACCATACTAGTTACCTAAATAATCATAATCCACAAACAGATTATGACTTAATTGAACGAAGATCAATATAAGCAAAAAAAAAAAAAAAAAAATTGTCTTAACAGGTGTAGAATGTGATGCGTCTAGTTGACATGTCTCTATCGAAGTCTAAAAAAATTAAGCTTAGCTGACTACCAGAATGATGAGTGGATCGAAGTTAGAAATTAAATTCAAAGATGGGATTTCAAAAATAGAGGTCCAATTATATGTCACCTCATCAAATTACGGGAATGCTACAGTTTTATATTAGCTGGCAGTGCACGTCAGTACTAGGTAGTTTCATGGTATGAAACAAAACAAAACAAAAGGTTAAATATTCCCCAACATTATATGTCTCCAATATTTATCTAATAACATTAAATTATTTGCTCTCCAACATTCTTATGATCATCTTAATTATATCGGTTATGGTATTGAAAACATGGTAGTCATGTTCTCCGTCTAACTAACAGAAATTCTTGGGCAGTGATGAGAGATGCCTGCTATAACTCAATTAACCATTGATATGTGTTAACGTATTTCTGTTTTGAAAGAAAAAAGACGTATTTTTAACATGAAAAATACAATTTTATGCATGTTTAATATTTGATGGAGTAATTATGGTGCTCAGGTAAGAATTTTTCCTCCCTTATAATTTTTTTTTTTATACAAGTTGTCATCCAAGAACACTCGTTGTATGATAAATGTATTATCAGTGTTTTTTTTTTGTTGTATCAACCAAGCTAAGTACTTCACACATAACACCCTCCACATCAGTTACGTACATAAATCAATTTTCATGTAATTGTTATCATAGTCAAATTCTTCAAGTATTATTTTAATACATAAAATACAAGATAGTGTAAAAAGAATTTATATTGAGAATTCATCAAAATTTAATTTAATTTTATCTCTCAATTTTGTCTTCTTACTGGCCCTTTAATCATTTTATAATTTTGTAGTTATCCTTTTAGAGTATAATTAACTTGTTGGAAAAAAAACCTTGCATAATACTATCGATAGGATTATAGGAGACATGCGGCATTTTAAATTCACAGCGCTTGCACATAAAAATCAATAAACTTGCTAGTATAGGGATATTGTCATTGCAACAATACAATGACGCTGTGATATAAACTGAAAATGACAAGTGAAATTAATATAACCTGATGCTAGTGTTACAAAGATCACTAGATTAATTACTTGCTAATAGCTAGAAACGAAAAACTTGACAAAAGAATAGGAACGAACTTTTCTTAGAGCAAACAAACTTACCGACGTTATGAAATGAAGCCCCCCAAACTAAGTTATGAATCGAAAAAGGAAGAACTAGCTGATACAAATTTGCTGGCCTGTTCGGCAGTGTAAATCATCCGTAATTGTATGCATGTAATTTTCTTAAGATGGTTACCCATTACTCGTTCCAGAAATATCATACATTAATTATGGGGGGAAAACAAATCCAAATTTACTTAATCTTCCATACTGCAAGTAATGGGGATAAGTTGCATAAAATAAACAATTATGGAGTAAATTAATATTTATAACAAGTTGGGGAGTTTTGTATACCGAAATTTGCCTCTCTCTTTTTTTAACGTGCAAGAGACAATGTTGGAAGAAAAACTCGGTAGGACTTAGGAGAAAATGGTAGATGATTTTTGTTTAGATTTCTTACTAAAGGTGGTAATCTAAATTATCCATATTTGATAGAAGATTTCCGAAAAAAAATTCAAAAATGTGATTTTCTCTGAATTTTGTTTTGTGAACAAAATTTAACCAAGAATACTATCCAACAATATCACCCGGATAGTGATATTTTTGGATTCTCAAAAAAATGAAAAATTTAATTCATTTCTAGCAATATTTTCAATCAATCAAACATAACATCAGAAAAATTAATTCAATATTTTCAGAAATATTTAACCTACCAAATAGCTTTTCGTAACATTCTTGGGAAAGTTAATTTCTTACTATATTCTTGAGAATCATGATTTTTAGATAAAAAAAAAAAAAAAAATCTCCTCTGTCAAACGGTTTGTAAGAAAATAAATAATACTCTTCTTTCTTTCTCTTATATTTTCTCTTTCTCTGCATGTCTATCTCTAATTGGCTTCAAACTTGTCAGACCACCGCAATTATATATATTATATCCCACATAATTATTAAACTTCAAACATAATAGCAAACATCAATAATCCAAAATACTCAATGCTTATGTTCAGCTCCATAGAGTTGACTTTAAACCAGTTGACTTCAAACGCAATTTATAGTGGTACTTGCACATCATTTGATAGTAAACTTTCCCCAGTAAGTATAATTGTTAGGAGAAGATCACCTTTGATCTTATCCTTCAGCAACTAAGTCCTAGTTTTTAGCAAGAATAGTTTGTTATTATTCCATGTATAGTTTGTTTAACAGTATACTTTATTCTAGCTGATCCTCCTTGATTCTGTATAACCGACTTGTGTATATATTGGCTATCAGCCATTTCATTAAATACAACAACATATTCAAATCCTCTGAGTTTTTTATATGGTATCAGTTTGAAGGTATCGATCCACTTTCCCAATGGCTGATTCTGATTCAGATTCTTCCGCTGTCAATATCAATGCTAATGCCAAAGCCAATGCAACCGACCCTACCCTTACACCGTCTGATCCTCGTTCCCCATTTTTCATGCCCACATCTGATAGCCCTGGTTTATTTCTCACCAATGTTGTGTTAAAAGGTGAAACCAACTATGATGTGTGGGCCAAAGCATTCAAAAATGCACTCCTTGCAAAGAACAAATTGGTTTCATAGATGGCTCCATTCACAAACCTGCTGCTATAGCATCTGATGAAACTCACGCTTGGACACTTTGCAACTCCATGATCAACAACTGGATCCACAACACTATTGATCCACTTCTCAAGCCATATATTCATTATTTCTCCACTGCTAAAGCACTGTGGGATGATCTACGCGAAAGGTACTCTATTCAAAATGCTCCAAAAATTTATCAGCTCAAGTCCAATCTTTTTCAACTACGACAACAAGGCATGTCTGTTAGCAATTATTACACCAAATTAAGGGGTGCTTGGGATGAACTTGATGTTGCACGAGCCTTACCAGATTGCCCTCATGGCTCCAATTGTCCTGTTACACAATATATCACCAAAGAAATGGCAAATGATAGGGTCTACCAATTTCTATTAGGCCTGGACAATGCTATGTTTGGCACGATTCGAACACAACTCCTCAATCAACCGCTTCTGCCATCCTTAAACAAAGCATATTCCACGCTAGTCTAGGAAGAAACTCAGTTCCATATGGCTCAGACTCCTGACACTCGTAATGATGCACTTAGCTATGCTGCAAGAGAAAATTCAAATCTTCATTCCTCCAATGCTGATCCTGTTCGTTGCACTCACTGTGGTAAATTATACCATGATGTTTCCAAATGCTATCAATTACATGGCAGACCACCATATGGACGTGGAAGGGGACGTGGCAAATCTTATGACAAGCGTCCCAACCCATTCAATTTTTCTGCATCACAAACAGCAGCTGCAGCACCTATAGTGTCCAACCAAAACTCGGTTCCCAACCTGAGTCCTGAGCTTCTACAGCAAATTACCAACATGGTTGCTTCCTCCACTACACCTTCTGCTAACACTCCCTTTTTGGTAAGCACACTCTGCCTTTTACCTGGTTGGTGGATAGTGGCGCTTCTCAACACATGACAGGGAACCTCCATTTAATCTCCAATGTTACATCTATTCCACCCACTACAATAGGTTTACCTGATGGTGATCAACTTGTTTCCAATCACAGTGGCAGTCTCAAGTTGACATCTCATATTTCTCTTCAGAATGTCTTATATGTTTCCAAATTACAATGCAACCTCATATCAGTAGCTCAATTACTTGCTGATACAAATTGCATCATTTCTTTTACTCGCAATGGCTGTGAATTGCAGGACCCCATAACGAGGATCAAGACTGGACTAGGTAGATTGCAAGCTGGTGTTTATGTGCATGACTCATCCAACAACAAATCCATCTCTACTGCATGTGCGGCTCACACTCAACAGAATGCAGATGTTTGGCACCGTCGATTGGGTCACCCTTCATTTCAGTTTTTAAGCTTTCTTCCTTTTGTTACAGTTAATAAAAATAGGGGTAATTCTCCTTCAGTTTGTGACATTTGCCTACGCGCACAACAAACTCGTACTGTATTCCCTATTAGCATTAATAAAACTACTGCATGCTTTGATCTTATTCACTGCGATATCTGGGGTCCGTATCAAACTACCTCTCTAACGGTGCAAGATATTTTTTAACAATTGTGGATGATTATAGCAGAAACGTCTGGGTTTATTTAATGACCACCAAGTCTGAAACGTTCCACTACTTAACTCAATTTCTTCTCATGGTACGTAATCAGTTTAATACCATGGTCAAAATAATACGCTCAGACAATGGATCAGAATTTTGTGCTCATAATCTCCGCAAGGTTTATTCCGATATGGGAATTATACATCAAACATCATGTGTAGACACACCACAGCAGAATGGTCGTGTTGAACGGAAACATAGACATATTTTGAATGTTGCAAGAGCATTACGCTTTCAAGCTAGTCTTCCTATCGAGTTTTGGGGTGAATGTGTTCTAACTGCGGTGCATTTAATCAATAGAACCCCCACTCCTCTTCTCCAAGGAAAAACACCATATGAATGTCTTTTCAACCGCACACCCAGCTATGATCATATTCGCATATTCGGATGTCTTTGCCATGCTCATCCACGTCCCAAACCGTTGGACAAGTTTGCAGCTCGATCAACTCGGTGTCTGTTCTTGGGATATCCTTTTGGCAAAAAGGGTTGGAGGCTTTATAACCTTGAAACACATACTGTTTTTGTATCCAAAGACGTGGTATTTGAAGAGAACACCTTTCCTTTTGCACCAACCACAGTCATTACTCCCACTGATATTCCTCACGACCCAAACCCCCATAACTCCATATCACCCGAACCAACCCTTGCTCCTGAAAGCCCATCCTTTGATTCCCAAGTTGTTACCAACCCTGTCCCTTTAATTGATGACACTCTCGCTGTTGAACAGGCTCAGCCCGAATCTGCCCCTGTTGTCTCCAATGAGCTTTCTATCCGACAAGAACAGCCCCCAGAAGTCACACTTCCATCTGCACCTTTGGGACGTGGTCACCGTTCTCGCTGTCCTCCATCCTATCTCCAAGATTTCGAATGCTCCAAAGTCATCGCACATAATCCACTAGCTTTTTCTACTTCTTCCAGTCCTTCCTCAGGTATGGCTTATCCTATTGCTAACTTTGTTTCTTATTCTAGATTCTCTCCCAAACATCAACAATTCCTTGCTTCCATTTCTTCTGGTGTTGAACCAAAAACATTCAAGGATGCTGTAACTGATGAAAGGTGGCATATAGCAATGCGAAAAGAAATAGATGCCCTTGAACAAAATCACACGTGGGAACTCACTTCTTTGCCACCAGGAAAACGTGTCATTCCATGCAAGTGGGTATACCGCATTAAGTACAACTCAAATGGTACGGTGGAGAGATTCAAAGCACGGTTGGTCATTGCCGGTAACAATCAAGTAGCTGGAGAAGAATACTTCGATACATATGCTCCTGTAGCCAAAATGGTGAGTGTCAGAACACTTCTTGCGGTAGCTGCTGCCAAATCATGGCACCTATACCAGTTGGATGTTACGAATGCCTTTCTACACGGAGACCTTACCGAAGAAGTTTACATGCGAGTTCCACAAGGTTTCAATCATCACAAACCACATCAAGTATGTCGCTTACGTAAATCTCTCTACGGTTTGCGGCAGTCCCCTCGCAATTGGTTTGTTAAGTTGCGGTCTTCCATTGAATCATATGGCTTCATCCAATCCAAGGCAGATTACACCCTATTCACCTTACACAAAGATGGCCACTTTGTTGCTCTTCTCATCTACGTTGATGACATTATTCTAACGGGCGACAATGATGCCTTATGCACCGATGTCAAGGTCTTTCTCCAGTCATGCTTTCACATCAAGGATTTGGGGATTCTTAAATATTTTCTTGGCATCGAAATAGCTCACGGTCCATCAGGTCTTTTTCTGAGCCAACAAAAGTACGCTCTCAACATATTAGAAGACGCTGGTCTCCTTGCGTGCAAACCATGTGCCTTCCCTCTCGAAACAAATCATAAGCTTGCAGTTACAGAAAGTCCTCCATTCTCGGATCCAGCACGTTACAGAAGACTCATAGGACGTTTGGTTTACTTAACAATTACTAGACCTGAGTTAAGTTACTCCGTCCATGTTCTTTCCCAGTTCATGCAGAATCCTACTATTGCTCAATATGATGCTGTCATCCGCATTTTAAGGTACATCAAAACTGATCCTGGCCAAGGTTTACTCCTTCGATCCGACAATGATCTCCTCCTTCGTGGATATTCTGATTCGGATTGGGCTAGCTGTCCACTCACCCGTCGATCAGTTACTGGTTATTTTATCATGTTGGGTACTTCTCTTATCTCTTGGAAAACAAAGAAGCAACCCACAGTGTCTCGCTCCTCCGCTGAGGCTGAGTATCGTTCAATGGCAGCAGCTACAGCTGAGTTGTTATAGATCAAATCGTTTCTGGACTCGCTTGATGTTCCACATTCACACCCTATGCAATTGCACTGTGATAACCAATCTGCCATGCAAATAGCTGCTAATCCAGATAGAGATTGATTGTCATTTTGTACGCGATCATGTTCTCAGCAATACAATCACTACTACCTACGTTCGTACCGATCAACAACTCGCAGACATATTTACCAAACCGCTTGGTATGAAGCAATTCAGTTTTCTTCGCAGCAAGTTGGGCATTTCGTCACTCCATGCTCCAACTTGAGGGGGCGTGTTAGGAGAAGATCACCTTTGTTCTTATCCTTCAGCAACTAAGTCCTAGTTTTTAGCAAGAATAGTTTATTATTATTCCGTGTATAGTTTGTTTAACAGTATACTTTATTCTAGTTGATCCTCCTTGATTCTGTATAACCGACTTGTGTATATATTGGCTATCAGTCATTTCATTAAATACAACAACATATTCAAATCCTCTGAGTTTTCTATAATCGTACTATTTTTTTTTAATGTTATTTAATCTTACGAGTAAAGCCAACCTATTGGTAAACAATTGAAAAAACATGACTGTGTGGGGTACCGTGCCAGTTACCTAGATAATCATAATCCATAAACAGAATATGGCTTAATTGAACAAAGGATATAAGCAAAAAAAAAATAAAAAAATTGTCTTAATAGGTGTAGAATGTGATGCCTCTACTTGACATGTCTCTCTCTGAAGTCTAAAAATAAAACTTAGCTGACTTTTTTTTTTTTTGTATAAAAAACTTAGCTGACTTTAGCTGACTGCGAGAATGATCAGTGGATCGAAGTTAGAAATTAAATTCGGAGATGGGATTTCAAAAATAGAGGTCAAATTAGGGGAATGCTACAGTTTTATATTAGCTGGCAATGCACGTCAGTACTAGGAAGTTTCATGGTATGAAACAAAACAAAAAAAAAAAAGGTAGTAATATTCCCCAACATTCTATGTCTCCAATATTTATCTAATAACATTAAATTATTTGCTCTCCAACATTCTTATGATCTTATCTCGGTCATGGTAGTCATGTTCTCCGTCTCGCTTATTGAAATTCTTGGGTCTCAATTTAACCATTGATATGTGTATTAATGTATTTTTGTTTTAAAAGAAAAAGGACATATCTTTAACATGAAAAAAATAGTTTTATACATGTTTAATATTTAATGGAGTAATTATGGTAGGCGACTACGAATTTTTCCTCGCTTGTCATTTTTTTTACAAATTGTTGTTATCAAATTTTTAAGATCTTAATTTTGATCCACTATTCCAAGTGTTTTACCGCTCATTGTTCATCTTTTGTTGTAAGATAAATGTATTACCAGATTTGTTTTTTTATCAGCCAAGACTAAGTTCTTCGCATAGAACACCCTCCACATCAATTAGGTACATAAATCAAATTTTCATGTAATTGTTATCATAGTCAAATTCTTCTAATATTATTTTAATACATAAAATACAAGATAGTGTCAAAGAATTTATATTGAGAATTCATCAAAATTTAAATTTAATTTTAGGGTAAAGCCCATTTTGGGTCCCTAACAAAAAATATGGTCCTCGCTTTAGTCTCTTACCAGAAAAAGAAAAAAATTAGTTGTCTGGTTCCTATGAAATTCAAAGTGGTCCTATTTTAGTCTTTTTGATGGACTAATGTGGATCTTTTTTGAATTTATGAAAGACCATGATTTCAACTAAATTGATCCACTTTGAATTTCTTAAAAATCTCGGGACTAATTTTTTTTTATAAAGGACTAAAGTGAGAACCATGCTTTTTGTTAAGACTGGGATCCAAAAAGAATTTTACTCTTAATTTTATCTCTCAACCGTTTCTTGTTACTAGCCCTTTAATCATTTTATAATTTTATAATTATCCTTTTAGAGTATAATTAACTTGTTGGGAAAAAAAAAACCTTGCATAATCCTATCGATGGTATTAGGAGACGTGCGGCATTTTGCACACAAAAATCAATAAACTTGCTTGTTACCTTTTGAAGATGATAAATTACCCATCATTGCAACCATACAATCACGCTGTGCACTTCATATAAAAATAACAATGGAAATCAAAGAAATGATATAAATTGAAAATGACAAATGATTCTCGTGCTTTAAAATATAATTTTATGTTTTATACACGCATAAAAGTGTATAGGACTCATATGGAACCATGTAAAAAAAAGAGGAAAAAAAAAATTGAACCCCACATACTCTTACGTGTGTTTAAAAAAAAAAAAAATTATCTTCTACAACATGAAAAACAATAATCCCCAAATAAAATTAAGAGTAAATACCTTTTTTGGTCCTCAGCAAATTTCACGATGTCCGCTTTAGTCCCTAGCAAATAAAAAGGTCAATCGTGGTCCTTAAAATATTCAAAATGGACCTATTTTAGTCCTTTTATGGACTAATATGGATCTTTTTGAATTTGTGAAGGACCACAATTTCAACTCCATTTTAAATTTCTTGGGATCACGATGGCCCTTTTTATTTGCTAGGGACTAAAACGGACATTGTGAAATTTGCTAGGGACTAAAACGGACATCGTGAAATTTACTAGGGACCAAAACGGATATTTACTCTAAAATTAATATAACATGACGCTTGTTACAAAGACCACTAGATTAAATTGCAACTATAGAAGAAAACTTGACAATAGGAATAAACTTTTCTTAAAAAGTTGTTAATGTTATGAAATCAAGCCCCCAAAGTAAGTTATGAATCGAAATAGGAAGAACTAACTGGTACAATTATGCTGTGGCCTGTTCAACAATGTAAATCATCCGCACTCCGCAGTTGTATGCACGTGATTTTTTCAAGATAGTTACCCGTTAAAAAAAATCACTCCCTGTTAAACTCGACTAGCGAGTGTGGGGTGGAGGAAATTCTTGTACGCAGCCTTACCCTTACATAATTGCAAAGAGGTTGTTTCCTGGATTCGAACTCATGACCTTTCAGTCATGAAAGTGAAGGAACAGTTTTACCACTGCTCCGATTCACCCCCTTTACCCGTTCCAAAAATATCATATATTATGGGAGCAAAAAATATTTTACTATTGAATTTGTAAAAAATCTTGGGATACACCACCCCAAAAGCTAACTCAAAGGGTGGAAGTGTCCAAGGCCTTATAAACTCCACATTAGTTGCACATACAACTAATGTGGGACTATATATCTCAACACGCCCCCTCACACGAGAGCCATTTGGGCTTGAAGAGTGAAAAATGCAACAGGCTCAGCCTACCTGTGCTAAGAAAGTCCACAAGAGAAAGTGGGGGGCGGCGAGGCTCTGATACCATGTAAAGAACCAATTCAACCCAAAAGCTTAAGCTGTTAGGTGAGGTTACATTAATGGTTTTATATATCTCAACACGCCCCCTCACACGAGAGCCCACTGGGCTTAAAGGATGGACAATGCACAGGCCCATCTACCTGTGCGAACAAAGAAATTCCACTTGAAAGAAAGTGGAGGGCGACGAGGCTCTGATACCATGTAAAGAACCAATTCAACCCAAAAGCTTAAGCTGTTAGGTGAGGCTACATTAATGGTTTTATATATCTCAAGAGAATTTAACATTTCAGTGGTATAAATCTTTATTTACACAATCAGATAGCGCACCAATCAAACTTTTAATGAACAAACTGCATATCAGAGATCTTTTGGAGTTTGTTGCATCATCATTTAACAATGTAGTATTCATGCAATCAAATAACATCATTCAACATACATAATCTAGCGACCTCAAGTTTCTGATTTTTAACTTTACCTTTTATTCCAGTATATATTTACAAGTACGGCACATTCAGATACATTATCCAAGTATGGCCCCCTAAATTTACAAGTACTTCTACAAATGTATCAATTCCAAAAGCTAAAAGCATGCATGGAAACTTGAGCTAATAAAAACAGCAAATTCACACAATATTGGTGAGACTTGCACAAAATACCTCCATAAAAATCTTCCATCAGGTTTCATCAGATCAAGACGAGCAGCACATTTAAGTACTCTACTAAAATGTTCGCTGAAGCGGGATTCTGGCAGCAGAGGAGAGCATATGTTATGACTCTTGCAAAAGGATCTCATAAATATCAGTTCTTAGATTCAGTTCCTTATCCCGCATAACTTCCTGTAGATCAGATAGCTCCTTTGCAGTAAGGACGGAGTTCAGTTTGAGAAAGCCATCCAACCATAGCCTTTTTGACCTAGTATGCACAATCACAAAAATAAATTAAATAATAACAAGATTAATAATAATAATTACAACGGGAACAAATACATATGCACATTTATTTATTTAGTTAAAAAAAAATGGTAGCTTGGGAATTCAAAATTATCATCTGTTAATGTTCCCAAGTGGAATAACCCCTTTTTTGTCTGTTACATTTACATCACATTTTTGTGAAGGTTAGTTCCAGAAAATTCTAAGCATTCTTATTTCTAGTTATGATTCCAAAATAAATTCATGTTTAATATCATGCATTGCTAGCTGGAAACAAAATTCCCCGTTCCCACATCTCAGCTTGCTGAGATTTCTAAAGACTAAATGATACTTGCAGTTGCTCTACGCCTAACACAATAGGCCTTACAATAGCATAAGTTAGAAGAAAATGAAGAGAGGAGGAGGGAGCGGGATGGTTAGGATGGTTTGGAAAGATGGAGTGCTTCATAACAAAATTTTACTTTTTTATATTTTATATAAATAAGAAAATTTTCATCGAGAGGCATTCTTTGTAGAGGCATTCTTTATAGAATTGTTAATCAATTCACTCGCCATACCGATTCTGTTTATCATTTTTCCCTATACCTTGCAAACCTTTGGGGAGAGGGAACTCTAGAGCCCTTTCTAATTGTACATATATCTACATCAGTACATCGGAGAAATAACAATTGTTTTTGGCACATTTTTGGAGACATGAAATATTTTGTGAGCGTTAGACACTAGAAATCCAAGCGCCACACCCAAAAGAGATTGTTGGTAACTTCTGGGCTACATGACTGAAATCCCCTAACACTACAACTCTAAACCCAAGTTAAAAATTTATGCACCAACTTAGGCAAAATTAATTTACTTTCAAGGAAATATCATTTACTCATCTAAAACACAAGTACTCACCAGGGACAGGCATGGACAGCTCGGAAGAAAACACGTCGAGCTGCAGAAGGATCATGTGCAATGTCCAATTCATACACAACATAGCAACGCCACAATACAACTGAGCTGCAAAGCCTATCATTACCCAATGCCCTTTCAAACAACCCACGGATTCTGTGTTGTGAACCACCTCTAGACATCTCGTATGTCAATGCAAAAAGCCAGAGAACCACAGATGGTTTCCTGAAAGCGTACAGTTAAAGAAGAAATGAATGCTTAGTTTATAGTAGAGAGAAGTTGTGTATTTGAAATTATTATACATGTGTTAATGCAGAAAACCTAATATGTAGCAGTTTTAAAAGGAGATATGCAGCCAGAAAGAGAGAAAATAAAATCTAAGATTTATGTTATCCAAAAAAAAAAAAAAAAGATTTATACATCAGGAGAGCAAAGCAAATACTAATAATGAAACAGATGACTTAGAACATAAAAAGAAGTGGGGGGAAAATGGATAGGCAGAAGCAGATAGGAGTCGAGTAATTTCAGAAACAGGACTTTTTATCTATAAAGTTATAGCATTTCATTTCTCTTCTAGATGTAAAATCCTCCAGTGTTTAGAGCTCCTCTTGTACTCATTGCAACATAGTTAACATTATTTCTAACATCAAGGTAGTAAAAAAAAATTGAGTAATGAACAAAGTTTTTGTTTTCGTCAAATGTTTTAGGTAGGAAGGAGAAAGCAGACTGCCTTGAAAGGGGCTCCATTTCCTTTTGCTTGGTCAAAACAAAATCTGATAGGCAAACAAGTTTTCTCTCATCAAGTTCATACATTAAATAGTTTTAAAACAGATGTCACTTTTTATAATTTTTAATCATATATTATGCTAAGTTTCAATCGATCTTCACCTGTTGGAGAAAAATTATAATTTTTCATTAATGGTCTTCATCTTCCCTATAAATGACAACAATTTATACTAGAGCTCGTTGACTCTGGTAAAAACAAGTTTAAAGCCCTACAACTCTTCCATCATTATTTTGTCTAGAGATTTTAGTCTTATCAAGAAACTATGACATCCCTTGAATAAATCATGAAGTTATATAGATAAGGATCTTACTTGTAACAGAAGTCATCTAGAATCCGCCGCAACTTATTAGATGTTGTGTAAAAATGGCCAACCTCCACTGCACTTTTTAGAAGTTCAGGACTGAAGGGATATATCTGGAGGCCCTGAGAGATGGACTCCCAAACTTTCATCAGACTTGATTGTTTCTGATGTCTCTGAAGCATCCTTATGTAATAGTTAAACAAAAATTCAAGTTGATAGCTATGGCTTCTCCTTTCTGCAGGTTGCAAGAATTCAGATAGACATGATAAGTGACAAAATCAACACTTTTGCTGCAATAGAAAAGATCAACACTGGTCACATGACAAACTGCTTGTACATGACATACCAAAACCGAGCATTTTAGCAAATTTTAAACTTCCCGCATGCTAGAAAGCATACCATGCTTCAATTGCAATCACGTTAAATGAAATTCCATCAAAGTTACAAAAAAATGTATCTTAAATTTTTCATACGTCCACAGGTCAGAGTGAAATTGTATTGCATTAGGAGAAATAGGCATGCATCAAGATACAACTTATATAAATTCTTAGCAGCAATCCCTACTGAAGGTGAGCAAACAAATTCCAATTCAAATAAAAATTCATGCGATAAATGCAAGTTGATAAACCATGTATAATTCATAATAGTAAAGGGACAAAATTTCATCAACCACATGCATAATTTTACTTATAAACTTCTTCATAAACCATCAATACTCTAGATTTAGCATATTAACTATTTCACTCAAAAGTTTCCATGCAATACTACCCTACCAAAACAAATAAATAAAAGGGGAGGACGAGCCTTAATTTTTCTTACTTATTCTTTCCAAATAACAGTATATTCATGATGAAGAATTCAACTTTTGGACGTCTACTTAGTAAATTACAATGGCCAACTGGTGACAAATAAGAATCTTGGGATAAGATTGAGTAAAGAAAATATTAGAAAAAACAAATTAAGAATGTCTACTTGAACTTCAAAACAACAACGCACTTGTCTTAAAGATGTTATGTTTTCTAAAAGGAAGACCAGTTACTGAAGACACTAACCTGGAAGCACCATTGCAAAAGCTTGATCCAAAACTTCAATGCCCGCATCCCATCCAGTGGTTAGCTCCTCAAACAATGCAGTGGAACATATTAGAGCTACAGACTGGTCATTTATTATACCATGAACCCAAGATGATCGTACTGTTCTCAGTTTTTCTTTAAACCCTTGATGTGCTCTAAGCAGCTGCATACTTGATGCTTGACTTTTGAATGGGCTGTATTTTGTACGACTTCCTAAGCATGATAATATATGTATTGCCCGGTATGAAGATTCACAATCATTGTCTGTGTGATTCGCAAGCTCCACCTCAGCATACCAGAAATATAGAAGAGGAGCACTGGACTGTAGTTCCTACTCCATAAGGTGAATGAATGCAATTATGCAAAAGAATAAAACCTCAGGCAGAATACTGGCAAAAAGAACTGTATTTATTTATCAAATTAAATTAAAAGCTAAGAGGCAACTCATCTAAAGACACACAAACATGTAAGTATGCATAAGGAATGATACACATTTTTATACACATATGGATATGTCTGTACATATATGTGGGGCATGCTAACTTCCTCACCTTTATGTGGACGTTAGCATCCTCCACATCTTTAATTGGACTCAATACCCAATCTATCAAGATGGAGAGAAATTAAAAAGAGAGGAGGATAAGGAATCCTCCAAAACAAAATAACAAAACAGAAAACAACCAATAAAAAAAGAAAAATTCAATGGAACAAAGCTGCCCAATCCCTCAACATATTTGTTAGTGACACCCCATTAAAAAGGCCATGTGCTTTAAACCAAATAGACACAAAAGACGCCTAATCTTATTCCAAATCAAGAGTTGTGCCAAAGAAAGCTCCTTTAAAATTTAAAGTACGACATTTGTGCTCCAACCAAAGGGTAGCATAGATGTCACATTGCAACAAAAAGAGGAAGCAAAGAAAAACTCTGTAATTATAAAAAAAAAAAAAAAAGGCATTGCAGCAGAAAACACATCACATACCACAGGAAGCCCTTCTACAGATAACAATGCCATGTCAAACACTCTTCTAGCATGATCAATGTTACCATAATTAGCCTCTCTCCGTGCATATACACCACATAGCAATACATCCTACAACCACCAAAACACAAAACGTCAGAAATAATCTGAGAAACCTACAAATTATGGCAACAAATAAAGGATAATATTAATAGCATCATATGCAAATGTTACTCCAATGAAAAATAGCTTGTTCAATCATTTCCTAACAAAGAGAGAATAGCAGTAAGGTATCATCTAGTTCTAGATCCCTCTGTTGTATTTGTGCTCATACTGAAAAGTTATCTCCATTGGCACTTTGTTCCCTTCTATTTTTAAAACATGTACAACTTGACAATATTTAAGCTCTTCACATTCTTATTATTGGTCTCCTCAATAAGATTATAACTGATTTTTGTCCTACAAGGATATCTACCCACTACAAAATCTTATCTCAAGTAAAATCATCACAACAACCATAACTATTCCATTTGGCCCTCCCTTATCCTCTTTGAGAACCATCATTTCAACATTCTAACTATTATAACAGAAATAAATCATACGTTGGAAAGCTGTATGAGAAAAATTATTTTCGTTTATAATTTCAGTTATTTCAATCGTGTGTGGGGGGGAAAAATTATAGCTAACAGAAACATTGAAGGATAAAATCATTGGGCCTGTTTGATTGTGTTCTGGTTTTTTTATTTTCTGTGTTTTTTTTTGTTTTGAAAGTGAAAAGTCCAAAAACAAAACAAAACAAAAACAACACAAGCATGCTCTCTAAATTTGATTCTAAAAACAAAAAACAGTCACAATTTTTAAAACTTTTTTTACAATACAGGTCTTGTCAAACAAGTTTTTTTGTTCTGAAAACCAAAAAACTGTTTTTAGAAACAGTATTCAAACAAGGCCATTGTTTTCATTTCTAATTTTATCTGCTTCCAGTACGCTGTTAAACCTAATAAATGAAAATATTATTTCAGCTGTATTACAATATTTTAATCATGATAGTTGTAGATACTAATATTCTTTTGTTATAGAAGGCATTTATTATATTACATAAAGGAGCAAGAGAAAGAGAGAGAAAGGAAGGAAAATGAGTACCTGTCGATCACTTTTCAAGAGAGACTTTGCTAAAGCTCGACATGGTGTAACCATGCAGTTAGAAGAATTCATTTTTGTAACATAAAGCTCTTCAGAAATAAGAACAGCTTCTTCCAAGATGTGGTTACGTGGAAAAACAGTTAAACAAAGTAAGACAGCATTCCGTATAAATTTCATAATATCAGCATTCCTCGAGAAACTGCCTGATAGGAATTCAAAACTGAAACCAGTATGACTGTTTTGTGTTTTTGTCAAAACTTCATGGATGAATTTCAACTTCTCTAACATAGAATCTGGCAGATCCTCCAAGCCAATGACATTCTCTGTCCAAGTTGGACAGTTTGAGCAAAACCTACAAAACAAAGATGTGGCAAAAACAAATAGCATCAACATGTTATAACACAAATAAGTAAAAGTCATAAGCCGCCAAGGAAGGACAGACCCATTAATAATGTTTGTATCTCTAGCAATACACATTATCTATATACCATGCATATCTATCAGATATGAAAAGTAAAGAAATCAAATATATGAAACCTTCACCAGCAATGGCACATGGGACTCCTAACCAGGAACTATACTAGAGCATATACTAATCCTAGCTTTTGAAAACTAATTCCCATTACTAGTAGTGTTATCAACTACAGAGTAGGGAAAGGGTATCTGCACCAGAAAACTTACAATTGAGACATCTTCCCACCATAGAAGTCAATGAATTGGGACACCAAAGATAGTCGAGCCTCTGCTGTGCTCAGGGAGAACAGGTATTCATTCACATCTTCATACAACACAATTCTCAAGAGTTGCTCGTCCTCTTCTGTTCTGTGTGCTTCACTAGTAGCAGAGGCGGTATCTGTTCATGGTTAATCAACATATTTGTATAAGCACCTTGCTTAACATGAAATTGCACTGCATTCAGAAGGAAGTAAGGAAAACTCACACAAAGAAAAGCCAATTAAATGTTTATGCACGTGCGCAGACACACACACAAATACATATTGGGAGGAGTATGGTTGTGAATGCAGAAAGAGAAAATCCAACCTGATTTCCTACGAACAGGCATCCATTGATCACAATCTCTAGAAGACTCTTCTTCTGACCATTTGATCCAGGTTGAAGCTTCATTAATTTCGCCACCATCCTCAGCATTGACATCAATTCCTAGCATTTTCAGCAAATTTTCAGTATCAACTTCTGGCTCAACATCTTCATATTCATCTTCATCAGGATTATCCTCCATAACCAAATCAGTGTTGGCTTCGTTTTCAACATTGGGAATACCCTCCTTATCTTTAGACAAAGGTTCTGACCAACCAGTCCAACCACCACCTTCATTGTCATGTGAGAGCTCCTCTTTAATAACTTGTTGCCTAGTTTCCTCCACTTTCTCCAGCCATGTGGACCAACCAAGAGCCCCTTCTTCTCCAACTCTAGCACCGTCACTATTCCAAAACTGCTCAAACAGTCTATGCTTGCTCTGCTCTGTGAGCAGCAAAGGTGGACAAAACAAACTAAACTCGATTTCAGCCTGAAATAAAGCAGTGGCCAATTCTCTATAGCCAGCCTGCCATTCAAATCTGCAAAGACTGAGAAAAATATCCACAAGACCAAGTTCTAGCTGAACAATTACAGGATCCGGTGAAGAAGGATCAGCAGCAGCTTGGTGAACCTGCTAAAAACAAATTTTCTTCCTTTTTAATACTATTTTGTGATCTTCCAAAATATTCACAAGGCATGTGACATTACTAAGTGAAAACAGTCATGCAAATGATGTGAAATCGTTAAATTCTTAATATATCAACTTCATGACCTCTGACATATAAAGCAACTAGTTTATACACATCCAGAATGTAAGTGAAAATTGAAGGATGGTTCAACTTTCTTCATTCTTGCAGTCCACAGAAAAAAAAATGATAGTACGTAAGATTTCATTATCAGCAAATTAATTCCCTCGCCTTGCAACCACTTTCAGAAAATTAACGAAAAAATCATTGCTCAGTGAACAACATCCCTCCCTATGATCTCTATTTCCCCATTCTTTTACTATGTATCTAAATTAGGGATCTGATCGTTCCTTGTATAGAAAATAGCACCACCTAAGCACAAGATAATAAATTATAAATAGATGGACAATATTCACTTTCATGCATAAAATAAAAAAGAGAGTAAAGCATAAAAAATTGAGAACCTGCCTATAGTGCTTGCTGCATGAAGCAGATAGAGCTTCGATTGCATGTGCGTACATCTTCCTAACCTCCGAAACCTTAAATCTGGAGAAATTTCTCTGAATTACATGCAAGAATTCTCTCCATAACTTGTAACTTCCAGAGTGTTGCAAAAGTATCTTCTCCCATCTCCCAATTAGCACATCTGAGTTGTCTCTCGTTTGATAAGCCTTCAAAAGGCAAAGCAATAGCTCTTCATTGTCCGGGTTAAGCTCAACTGCCTTCTCCAGAATGCTAATCTTCTTTTCAAGAGTTTGCAAGCGAGCACCTTTCTGTCGTTGCATCCCTGCAACCCTATCTTGGAACTCTGCAAAAGCTAACCAAACTTTTTCATCATGGGGGTGCTCCCTTGTCAGTTTGTTGAACTCTCTAGTTTTGTTTAACATTTCATCTTCCCAAGATTCTTCAAGTGAAGCTGAAGTTTTAGAGTCAGAATCACTGTCAACAGCTCTATGAGATGTCCCAACGTCTGATAAAGGTACAAACTCATCCTGTGTCATAACAGGAGATAATTTTGGTGCAACAAGACGAATACGCTTAAAGCTTTTATGCCGTTCCAAAGCCATATACTTTCCAGACCAATAACGACCAGCAGACCTCATTTTACCATCCAATGCATCAACATCACCATCTCTTTCCCCGAGGGAACCACTTTGATTCCACCAATACAAACCTCGAACATGTAGCCCAGATAGTTTCAAGGGATTGTAAGGCTTGTACCGAGCAATATCCATTCTGCATGGTATTTACAAAGAATCTTCATCATTCATTACTAATAAAACAAATAAAATACTCAGGAGAACAGACTCGTTTGGTTGGGTATGAATAAGAAATCAAAGGTTCAACAAGAACTAAATTACTTTATCCACCAAATCAGTTTATTCATTACATTTCTGAAATCAAAGAGAACAACAATGTATTTTAGATCACCTCCACCATTTCTTTCTCTCTACTTCAACAAGAAGTAATTTTATTTTCACTTTTCCGTGTACATTAACTCGGAACCTCCAATAACAAAAAGATCAATTCTTCACAAATACACATAAATGAATCTATAACAAGCAAGAAATTTGCACCAGAGAGTATATTACTAGCACTCCTCAAACCCATAGTTATCAAATGCGGATTGCGGCATGTCGCGCCAACCCCGAAAAACGCTATAGCGTTATAACGGATTGCGGTTTCGGAAATAGCGAAATAGATATATGACAGAAATAATGACAAAAAGAAACATTTTTTAAAAGCAGAGATAGTAGAAGTGACATAGAGAGACGCAGATAGACTAAAAATCCCTTAAATTTTTTCTGTTACACATTTAAATTTAGGACAATTGACATTTTGACTTATGACAGCAATATGGCCGCAAATGCGATCGCAATGGCTGCTATTGCGTTCCGGTGGGGCACGGCGCGGTTTCTTGCGGCGAGGCACCGCAATGCCCCTACGGCACGGCTCGCGGCGCAATTAACTACTATGCTCAAACCAAAGACTCATTAGAGCATGGTTCCTAGACCTGTGCATTCTGAAGATAAAAATGCATACAGAATACTTCACTTAGATCCCAAATCCCAATAAATGAATCAATATCCCTAACAGGAACAAAAATTACACCACACAAACTCCATAATTCAACTCCCTTACCAACACAAACACTAACCATTCAGAATCTTAACAAAATCACTTGCGAAATTGAAACGAACCATTAAATTCAATTCAACTCACAATAATTCCATCCAAAAATACCTGTAGATACATCCGAACGCCAGATTATCGCGATCGCCATGAGAATCGATGTAATAATCTTTGGCAGTGTTGGCCTCCGAATCCGCCCAAGCTCGAACGCGTGACTTCCTCGAACCGTAACCGTCGAATCCCCCTCTCTCTCCAGACCGATCGCGCTTCCGCTTCTTTTTCTTCTTCCTCTTCTTCTTCGTCTCCTCCTTTTCGGATTCGGAAGATTCCAGAATCTCGTAGGAAGTTGAAATCGGCTTCTCCTTAGCTCGATTTTCGTCGTTTTCATCGTCTTCGTCGTCTTGTGGTGGCGATTGCGTGGTTTCGCGGTTGAGTTGGGATGCGACGAAGTCGTTTATGACGGAGATGTCGGTGGTGAAGCTTGAGTTGTTGAGCCATTGAGGAACCGAAGTAGTGGTTTGAAGAGAGGAGTCACTGAGCGGAAAGAGAGGGAATAAAGAAGGTTTTGTTTCGTCGGAAGCTGCGGCGGCGGACGGTGGCGCGGCCGGTTCTTCCGCCATTTTGAAAATGTGAAAGCGGGGCAACAGGGCTTGGAGCTAATGATAATGTCCGAAAACGGGACCCAATAAGCACTTAGATATTGGGCCTAGTTGGGCTGGGTTTAGCATGAGGTGGTGGGGAATTATTTAGCCCATTAACATTGAACAATTTTATTCTCTCTTCTTCTTTTTTCCTTTTATTATGGATTTAGTTTTAGGGGAAAAGAATTATCACGTTCTAAAAAAAAAAAAAAGTTTAAGACTTAGTTTTATGGGTTTTGCATGAGGTGGTGAGACATCAAATTGTGTGTAATAATTTTATTTTTTATTTTTCTAATGGGCAGTGGAGTCCACTCCATCTCCTACAACTTGAGAAAACAAAAATCCTTAGTTTTAAGACTTTTATGTTTGAAATAGTAGTGAGGAAGAACAAAGGCCAAAGATAACAAGAAGGGAGCATATCATTGGATTAGCTTAATTTTTAAGGAAAGAAAAAAACTTTTTTTTTAAAATGATCATTTATTAAAAAAAATTAATTATAAGTTGATTTAAATATAAAATGTTATTCACATTTTATTCCGTTCACCCATCACATAACCCTTAATTAAGGGTGTGATTGGATTAGCAATGAAAAATATATTATTGAAAAGATAATATTCGCATTATATTCCATTGACTTGTTTTATAACATTATATATGTAATTTTTTTATAGAAAAAAATTCAAATATTCTAAAATCACTTTTACATTTGGATATGTTAATTGACAAGTAATTTAAAAAAAAAAACGTCTTATTTGTATTACATAAAAAAAAAATTATATAGTAAAATATTAAAAAGGAAATGAATAAATTTTTAGATATGGTAGTTGATACTTTAATTAAATAATATATATTGGATAAATTGGTAGAAATGCTCCTATGTGATTTAGAGTATAAACATTACAATTAAATGTTGAAAAAATAGCTTTTAGGTTAAAAAAATATTAATTTTCTAGTGTATGAATAATCATCTAAGATAGGTATTCTCATCGACTTATACCAAACAAAATATTAACTGAAAACAGTTTTTATCCAAAAAGAAAAAAAAAAGCTAATGGACAAAAATAAACACCAATTAATTGAAAATAAAATAAGTAAATCGAAAATATATTTTTTTATTTTCAATCTAAGAAACACAAATGGTTAGAAATAGTGTTAAATCGATTTAATTTTCTATTCAGCTAATAAAGCAGTTGTTCGGAAGCACCTTGTCATATTATTTATTAAAAACAGTTATTACAAAATATATTATCAACATTAAATGCACACAATTTATGAAAAATATTATTCATTAAATACAGTCTCTATGTACAAAAAAAATACAGTCTCTGTATAAAAATAAATTTTATTCTCACCCCCAAATAACCGACCAGACCACTAGCAATATTATTTTTTTTCTATTCTTTCTGTTTCATCAATATCGATAACTAGTCAAACATTGCACCCCAAAAAAAAATCAAACATTTTTCATTTTGAATAATCTGGTTATATTATTATTTTACTTTATCTATGATTTTCACAAGCTTTTTCGAAGAGCCATTAACCCATCTTCCTGCACTATCCCTTATGACACCACCACACTCGAAGAGTTCCAATTAACCAGAATCACCCTCATTCTGTACTGGCTTAAGCCTGCTGCTGATAGGAGAGAATCAGCATAATCAATACTGCATATAAAAGCAACCACAAGGGAGAGAAGAACATAGGAATATCAAATTCAGAAAATTCTTAAGGGCACCCCAAATAATTAAATGACATGCCAAAGATGCCATCCACAAACCACACTTTCATTGATCCCATTTGCTACCATATCCATAGTATAATAAACCAAATGAAGCTCCATTACACCATCAAGATACAATTTGGTTGCTTCAAACCGAAGGGAGAGGCAAATTTGCATCTCAAGTTCCATAAAAGCATGTGTTTAGTGAGTCTCACATTGTCACCAGCTTTGCTATAAATGGTGCTTCCAACAATGCTATCAAACCCTATATATGAAATATGATAGCTACTTCACAAAATACTACTACAACCAAATAGACTAAAAAGAATTATCCCACATCATGTACAACCAATATTTCAAGGATTTTCCCTTTCCAACAGACCAAACAAAGCAAAGATATCAACAGCCTAACACTACATCATAGCAAGGTTAACTGGAATACAATTAGGAGAGGGAAGGGAAAGACAAGTATTACCCACAAAACCAAAAACACCTTTTCAATGCATTATGTAGGAATGTGAGAAAGTGCACAACTTTTTCAATATCATCTTTAAAATAGATCATGAAAAGCGGCTAAAATGTATAGGTGGCGCCTTCCCTTCACCGATTTACTTTACCCAACTAAGGGAAATATTGATGTTATCACCAAGAGATAAACCTCCAAATATTTCAAGATGATATTGGTTCATAAGGGTATGACAACCATGGGTGCCTCAGTGCCTCGGATGCAGAAGGCCTCTTCTTGGGGTTAACCTCAAGCAAATAAGCAACAAAGTCAATGAAGCCTTGGTCCCCCATTGGCAATCTATGCCTCAAGGATGTCTTTTTTGGAATCAGGTATTCTAACCTGTTGCTTTCCTGTATAATAGTAAACAATACCTTCACAGTCAAATTATTAGAAGAAAATAAAATGCAGAGGCAATGGCAGCAATTTCATTATAACATGCAAGAACCAGTGGCGGAGCCGGGCTCAAATTTGAGCCCGGGCCAAAAAAATTATGTGTATTTATTTTTCTTAATCTTAGTTAGTTCAAATCATAATATATTTACACCGGGAAAGGATTTGTTTACAAATTTTTGCAAATTATACTATATACTCCAGGAAGTACATAGTATAACCTAGTGTACTTTTGTGAGTACATAGTGTAGTTTGTAAGAATTTGTAAACAAAAAATTTGTAAATATAACCCTCCCCATTTAAATTATATTAAATACAGAGCACCTGAGCAAGTAGTACTAAGAAGAATTATAATTTTATTAAATATTTTTTAATTTTACTAAAAATATTTATTTTTATACAAGTGAAAATTGAACATATAACCTAATACAACTTACCCAAATCTCTTACCAAAAATATTTTAATTTTAGATAGGGCCACGTTACAATTGTAGCCCGGGCCAAATTATAATTTTAAACCAGACCAAATTATAATTAATTACATAATTATATATAATAAGTATAATTCGTTAAAATTTAGCTCGGGCCGAGACTACACCCAGCATATATGTGGCTCGGCTACTGGCAAGAACTAAAATGTTGTGGGGTTAACATGAGATAAGTCAATTTGTCAGTCTTCCTTCTAAACATTTATGGTAAAATATAGATCAATGAAAATACTTAATTTTATAAATTCTAGGAAGCTCTTTCTAGTTTCAAAGACATGCAAATGAAAAGATACATCTCATATTAAACATCAAGATTTCAGATTGCTAGCCAGACAATTTTATTTATAGTATATGAAAATTATAAATAAAATTCTTACCTGATTCCGTTCATAAAGCATGTGATTTTTTGTGAAGTACTTATATGTATCACGTCCTTTTGCAAGCATAATTTGATCAATGGGACCAATGATCCCAATCACCCGAGCAAGTAATGTTGCAGGGGAATCATTTTGGAAGAGGACCTAAAACAAGATTAGTAAGTAGAGTGTCACTGAGGAAAGCAAGAAATATGAATGTACTTAACAGGAAAGAAAATAGGGCACTTTAATAGAACAGATAGATTCCATAATTGCATTCACCCAAAAAATAATTAAGATAATCCCACAACAGCAATGAACGTATAACTACAAAGAAAGTCAATGTAGCTGATGTATCAAATCATTTTTCACATCTAAAAGATACTTTGTCAAGTTTATTTAAGAATAATACTACAGAGAAAATCCAAATTTATTTTGGCATCTAAAAGATACCATCATCAGGTTGAAACAGTCATTGCTTAAAAAGGATTAAGTGGTGAATTTCAGGCCAAATTTAAGTTATAGACCTAATGTAGTATAAAACATTTTAGACCTGTTTTAGGTACTTCCCCCAGAAAATTTGATATAACTCTTCCGGCGCTTAAGTTTGAAAAACTTAATGCCATTTTGAAATAAGTTGAATTGACCATCTAATAATCTTACATTGCCAGTACAAAGTTCTGCCAAGATGCATCCAAGTGACCAGATATCAATCTTCTTATCATACGAAAGCCCCAAAATAACCTCCGGAGCACGATAGGACCTGGACTGAACATAAGAGCAAAGGTGATCCGTCTCGAAACAACTACTTCCAAGATCAATGACCTTCACCTCACATCTGCTATAGCTTTTCACCAAAATATTCTCCGGCTTCAGGTCGCAATGTATAAGTCCAAGGCTATGCAAAAATTGTAGTGCTTCCAAACATTGAATGGTAATTGACTGTACACATATATTGAGAAGAGTTTATGATGACAGTTGTAGAATAGTAAATACGACGAAAACTAAAGATCGCAATGTAAAGGGCACACCAAAAACCTGCAATCTTGGCATTGTGAAGTACACTTCCCCCCCTGATTCTCTATTAAATTTATGAAACTCATATAAGTTGGCTTTAAGTAGTTCACAAACAATTAACAAATGTTCCTGCAGTACAACAAGGGAAAGGAATCAAGAGTAGTAAAGACAGAAGACCACTAGTCAACAGATACTTCTCAACATCACTTTTACTATAGCTTAGAGGGTTACTCCTCATAATGTAATTCAATTCTTTTATACAGTATCCTGGAATGCATTGAAAATTTTCATGGTTTTTTACTTAAAATTAACACAAATCTAACAAAGGTGGTATTGCTGCAGCACATATAAATATAGAAGTAACGATAAACAAGTACCATTAGTGCCCAAAATAACCTATATCTATTTAGTAACAATATAGACGAAAGTCAAAGTCAAGTAAAAACAAATATATACTTATTCAGTCATCTATAACATTATTAAAAGATATGTTCTACAAAGGAGTAAAGTAGTAATCACGTTGATGCCAAAACTGCCCACGCAGGACAATAACTACTGTTCACAAAAGCTCTAGGCTACAGAAAAACAACAACAAAATCAAGCTGATTTCATGATGTGAAATGATAATATAAAATATGTGCCTTCACCTAATAGCTTAAGCTTTTCGGTGAAGACACATAGTAATATTAACATCTCTAACAGAAGATAATGTCAACACTATAGCACAGTGGAGAGGGAAATCATTCAAAGATAATGGATGACGTAGAGAATTGATAGAAGGAGAATGGCCAAAAATATAACAAATATGTACCTGAAATATGTAAATATGCCTAAATCAATAGCGCATCCAAAATCACTTACTCTGTAATAAAAATAATCATATAATCGCAGAATGTGATACTTGTCTCCAGGATCATGCTTATTGATATACTTGAGAAGCTTGATCTCATCAAGGCTTTGGTCAAAGAAGTCCTTGTTGTTCTTTATAATTTTAACACAAACATCCATGCCGGTGTGCAGGTCATGAGCTTGTATAGCTTTACTAAATGCAGCAGATCCAAGATACTCCGTGACATGATAGCGCCCGGCTATTACAGAATTTAAAACAACATGGAAATTCTTGTCCTCCTCAAAGCCAGTTCTGAGCAACAAAACATAGGTTCAGATAGCATAACGAGATCTTAGAAGGAAGAACGTGGAACAACGAAAAGAATACCTACTTTGAATTGAAACCAAAATACCTACAATGACAGGCTCATCGAGGCCTCCTAACATAGCACAAAAATGAATGCAAAAATATTTTCAAAGTTCTATATACATCAGCATATAACTTCCCTATGAGGGGAAAGAATATCACCATTCAAACAATGTATGCTATATTGTCTAATATACAGTGGCTTCTTCATTTCTTGAAATAAAGGGCCGACCCAGTTCAAATACCCACTTCGTGAGTGTCTGGGGAAAGGAATACTCTAGGCAGTCTTTCCCCTGCTTTTTGCAGAGAGGCTGATTCGAACCCGCGACCTGACACACCACGGCAAGCAAGCTTACCGCTGAGCCAAGCCGGCCCTTCATTTCTTGAAATGTAAGAATAAAAATTACTAAAGGATTAAAACAACTTTGGGAATTCACAACAATTATCAACAAGTCCAGGGCACAAAAATTACTCCCAATCACAAGAGAAGCATATTATCATCAACTAAGAAGCCAGGAATGTTATACGAAGATATTTTGATAGTACTAATTTCAAGACTACTACAAAAAGGCAGAAGTATAAGTTCACAACATTGCTATTGATAGATAATGCATTTTATTCATTATAAATCATAAATACTCAGTTCTGAATACAGCTTTAACAAAAGCGATGTAGATTTTACAAATCAAAAAGGAAATAGTAGATCTGCTGTCATCCTAGTTCCATCTTATTTTCCGTTGCTAAGTGTTAACAGTACCAAAAGGTTCACAAAATATTGCTGATGCTCGCTAGTGTGAATGTCCAAGTGTCTAAAGATTAAAAAAATGATTGTTAAGAAATGCAACCCAAAGATTAATAATTATTAATTAGGAATTCATACGTCAAGAGAGATAGAGTGAATCAATAAGATAACATTCTCAACACAAAGTTAAAAATATAATGGAGGGACGGACAAAGCTGATACCATATTTTCAGTATTTTTAAGATTCTTCTATCTAAGAAAAACTTTTATAGTACAAATTTCCGCAAATACTTTGCATATCAATGAAAATAATAAGAAACTTCGAATTCTTATATATTGAAGACATGCCTGTTTTTCCTGTGCACAATCTTTAGATTGAAGGTTTCAAATTCCTCCTCCTGAGCCTTTAGTTGCCTTACCTGCTCTTGCACAGCAGCAGCCTCTTCGTCCTCTAGTGATGCACCTAGATCATCTTCTGTTGCTATGCCAACCTTTTCATTATTTTCTAGCTTGACATGCTCTCTATCAGCATAACCATAATTTGACACTGTAGTTGGAGAAGAGTTTGTGGATCTTACCACATTAGCATTATTCTCATCCCCAGAACATTTACTGGGTGAAGAATCGCTGCTTTTCTGCCTCCAAGAAGAAAGCATGTCATCGGGTCCCAAAAATGCATTAATACAGTCATCTGTTTCATCTGCATTACAATTCTTTGACCATTGGGACGTACTGGAGCCAGCCTGAATTATCTGGCCTTCTTTAAAAGATTGGCGAAATGAGAAGTTCCCATCCGTATGTGTTTTTATCTGCGAGCAAGCATCTTTATCACCCCCAGTGACATATTTATTTGACTCTCTCTTGTCATTTTTATTCTTGTTCTTGAACGATTTGTTAATACAATTCTTATCCAAATCATGATGAGAGTGTTTGGAGCCACCAAGTGCAGTATCACGATCACGGAAATATTCTAAATCCCCTTCACTACTACCACCAACCAAACTTCCACGCACTTCACTGCCAATATCAGCAGCATCACTATTGATACCCACCCCAATTGACCTAACTGAACCATGTTGATCATCTTCCATGTCCTCAAGTTGTGATCTTCCACTATGATTCAGAACCTTTCCATCTCCCAGCATGATGAGATCATTTGTCTGAGTGACAAAGCCCTGCCAGACAGGTTCTGCCTGCATCAAATTCAGTTCGTCTACATCCATCAATTGTCCATCATATTGAGCCATTAAATCATTACCATTAGCCCTACCATACATTTCGGTAACTGTTAGACCGATCGGATCATCTGAAGCTGTGACCGGCTCCACATTCTTAGCTAGAAGATATTGCTCTCCAGAGAAATAAGAATCCTCCTCAGCAAAAGATTGATCATCATCCTCATCTTTGGCTGGACTTCTTTCCTGAGGATCTGGAACACTTCCATGTCCAGTCCCTTTTTCATTGTCACTAGGGTAATCAATTTCATGTGCCAAAAACCAGGCCTCATCCTCAATAGGTTGTCTCATATATCCAACATCGTCGTCGTCGTCATATTCATCAGAGTCCCAATATTCATGTGGATAGTCAATAGATTCACTCAATCCATCACAAACTGTTGTAAAACCCGATACAAGATCAGATGTATCCTCTGTAATTCCTTGACTTACAGACAGCCAACTGCCCCCTGCAGCTTTCCTCATACCTGAAACATATATGAAAAAGTCAAAGTCACAGTCTTCGGAACAATGTATGCACAATCAAATACAAAAATCACAATATATAACAGAAATAAAAGTATTTGAATATGCTCAATTGCAGTCATTAGTTCTAGTGGGAAAACAGACCAAAAAATAGCATTGACCTTATTGGTAGCCTTAATTTTCATGATCAATTAGCATAGAGGGAAATCCTTATAATCTGAAACAGATAAGGAATTCAGAAAAAGATTCAGAAGATAAAATCATTTTGATCCAATACCTTGCATAAGAACTAATAAGAACAAAATGGAATCATTGCCCTTAAGGCAATTAATTCTTTTTACACACAAAACATCATTGAAATAACAGTTCAAATCATATTAAGGGTGTGCACGACAACCATTCTATTTCCTAACATTGTTTCTGAAAAGAAACAATTCTTTTCTATTTCTGTGTTTGGAACAGTATCTGAGAAAAAAAAATATGTTTGATAACATGTTCTATTTTTATTCCGAAAATGAGAATTGTGTTTGATAACACAACAAATAATAGAAGAAAAAATCATTCCTATTAAGCATAAAAAATGATATATGGTGGTGGTGGTGACGGTGGTGACGGCAGTTAGGGGAGTTTGCGGTCTGGATTGGATCGGTTTTGGAAGCAATAATAATCCGATCCAATCCCTTCGGTTTGATCATGTAATCATTCATTCGGTTTGGATTTTTTTTCAAATCCGATCCGTTCTAATCCAATTTTTTTCAGTTTGGATTGGATCGGTTTTCGATTTTTTGAAAATCCTAAAATTTGTTTCATGGCTATTGTGCAAATAATATCTTTTTTATATATTGGCTTTGTAAATTTATTTTTTTTAAATACAAAAGCATCAGTAAATGATAATATAGTTTTTTTTTTTTTGGCAATGAGATATGAAGCTCTACACAAATGAAATTTCGTTAATAAGATGTGACTAGGTTTTTTCTTGGGTTTAGTTAATGGGTTAATGAGTCTTAGGTTTAGAAATTTTTGGGTTATGATTGGGGAAAGACCCAAGTAAGTAGAGGGAAATTAATATATTGGATCGGTTTGGATTGGATCGGTTTTCATCAATCAATCCGAAAACCGATCCAATCCAATTAAAATTGGCGATTTTTTTTCGTTTTTCGGTTCGGTTACCGTGGTTTGAATTGGTTGATGAACACCCCTAACGGCAGTGGCGGCGCCGGTGGTAGTGGCAGTTCGCGGCGCCGGTGGTAGTGGCAGTGGCGTCGTGGTGGTGGTGGTGGTGGTGGTGGTGGTGACGGCAGTGGCTGCGGCGATGATGGTGGCATGGTGGTGGAGATAGCGTGTGATGGTAGTGGTGGTGGCGGCTGCGGCGATAGTGGTGGTGGTTGGTGACGGAGGTGGTGATAGTGGCGGTGATGGTAGTGATGATGGTGGTAGTGATGGCGGAAGTGGCGTGGAGGTGGTGGTGACCAATGTTGTTAAAACGTAGAGTCTACGTAGAAACGGTAGAGGTGAATAAAAACGTAAAATCGTGAAACGTAAACGAAATGTAAGAGTTTACTATGTCAAAGAAAATTATAATTAATATATATATATATAAATCAATATTAAATTTAATTAAAAACTTCAAATTATTAATAATGTATTCAACACTTAATTTGTATTAATTATATAAAAAAATTTAACATCTTAATTCAAATAAAAAAATAGAAAAGAGTGAAAATAAAAATTTTAAATTTAATTGAAAACAAAATTTAAATAATAATAATAATAATAATAAAGAGAATAGTAAGGGATAAGATTTAGATTACCAAAAAAAAGTAAGGGATAAGATTTCAATTTTGTGTAAGATGATATATGAAATGTCATCTTTCTGTCAGCTTTTATCTTTTTGACTCATTCAAGTTATATTCTCTCTCCGACTCTCTTTTTCAAACGGTCCAATGCCCTTTTAAGTTTTATCAAAATCTCTTTTCGTCTTCTCTTTCTCTCTCTTTGGCTCTCTCTGGATATTTTTGCAAATGATTTGAAGCACAAGGATTTGCAAGCAGAAGTGAAGGAGGAGGAGGAGGAGGTCTAGTGAGCATCGGAAGAGAGTGCAGAACCTTCTTCTTGTTCGTTTGTTGCGGCTAGAGGAGGAGGAGGAGCGGCAGCTGCGCATCTCTGATTTTTTAAAAACTGAGTCGACTCGGTAAACTCGCCAAGTCAACCGAGTTTACTCGTCGTTTCAACCGAGTCAACTCAGTTTCCGTTTCAACCAACGTTTCAACACGATTTTGGAACAAAAAACGTAAAATCGTCCGTTTCTACCGAGTCGACTCGACGTTTTAACAACACTGGTGGTGACAATGGCATGGTGGTAGTGATGGTGGTGATGGTGGCAGTGGCATTGTGGTGGTGGTGATGGTGGCAGTGGCATCGTGGTAGTGGTGACGACGGCGATGGGGGTACAACGACGACGGCAACGATGGTGGTGGTGGTGGTTGTGGTAGTGATGATGGTAGTGGTAGAAAATGATTGAGAGAGACAAGTGTTTCTCATTTTGTGCCCGAGAACAAAAAAAGCAGAAAATTTTTTATTCTTTTTTCTGTTCCCCAGCACAGAAATTAAACTGGTTCATTCTCGGGAACAAAAAAATAAACCGGTTTTGTCAAACCCTGTTTCTATCCATTTCTATTACCAGGAACAAAAATTGAAGGGAAAAAAAAAACTGATTCTAAGAAGGTTGTCATGCACATCCTAAGTATTAACATTCAAGGGAACCAAAATTTACAAAGACAAGGAATTTATAGCATGAATTGGACGAATCGCCCAATATGTAAGGTCAATATAGGAATTATAGCCATACCAAACATTAATTTTGCCCTTCTTAACTTCAGAAAACTGAAGGGACTAGTGAAATTAGATGACAGCAATTTCAATCCTAAAGCTGGTATAGGGAATACCATTTAATATCTCAAAATGCTAAAATTCAATGGAAAAGGCATTAAGATTAATTAGTGTATCAAATTGTCAAACATACAAACCTAATACCAGAAAGAAGCCAAATGAATGGATCAACATTTGAAACATCAGGCATACAAAGGAACATATGAAAATGAAAATACTAAAACAAAATCCTAAGTCCACAAAGAGGAAAATTCCCACTAAGTACACAAAACTATCATCATGATAAACTAACAAATGAAACAGCTAGTTTGAGACCAAAGAGGAAACAGCTAGTTTGAGACCAAAGAGGAAACAGCTAGTTTGAGACCAAAGAGGAAACAGCTAACAGCTAATTAAATAGCAAAGAACAATTGATAGCATATGAATATATTTTAATAATTTAACAATATGTAGGAAAAAACTAACCTGCAGTTTTAATTTCTTGTCCAATAGGGACATCCAGATATGACCCGATAAGTAAAGTGCTATCAGCACCAGCAAGTTTCGCAGCCAGTCCATCACGTTCAAACTTCTCCTCCCAATTAATAGCCAAGGGTTTGTCTTCTGACTTTATTTTTACAGGAGGAAGCCTAGGAAACTCTTCCTTATGACTATCTGGTGCAAAAGGAAAAATTAACCCACCAATGTTCTTCTGTTCAGAACTGCCTTGCAACTTTCCTAAGTAAAAAGCTCTCCCGATTTCATCCACCTCTTCTTTTATTGATGCCCTAACATCACTGATTTCCGCCCTTGTTTTTTCCTCTTTTTTGTCAGCATAAGTTGAACCATTATAGCTTGTAGACATATCCCCCTTTGAGAAAGGGAAAACAGTCTTGACAGAACAATCTTTCCATAGGTCTGTAGATGAATTCACATTCTTGTCAGTTCTTGACAAGACATTATCTGCCAAGTTCTCTTTATGAGATGAACTATTAAATTTAAGCTGCCGATCATGTTCCTTAGGTTCTTTGTTTGGGGTAAGGCCATAATTTGGTTCCATAGAAGCTTTATCACTAGTTCCAAGCCCTGAGGATTTTTTCTCGGAAGGCACATTATTTTCCTCCCCAGATTTTGCATTACTGTTGGCAGCATCAAGAGCATCTTTCATTTGATATTTTGATTGCTGAGACATCGGGGCCTTCAAAGTATTATTAGCCCTACTTCCACCATCATTTTGGTAAGGCTCCATAGGACCATTGCTGAGATTAAACTTCCGCGAGTATAAATCAAGCACACTGTCCTCCGAACTTTTCAAGGAAGTAAAGTTTTTGTCACTTGTCCCAACCACTTCATTAGATTTATTCCTTTCCACAGCAGGAGCAGCATTTTTCCATTTGCTTTCATCACCATTTCTACCATTCCCACACTCTATTTCCTTCACAATCAGTTCTTTAGAAACTTCAACACTATCACGAGAATCCAACCCTTGATTTTCAAGCACCGACTTTCCCTTATCATTCTGGGCCATATCAAACAAGGTCTTTTCTTCCAATGTAAGCTTCTGAAGGAACCCATTTACATCAGAACGGTTATTGAGCTCACTGCGCAAAACTGCCTCAGCTCGTGTAAACCGATTCCTCCTCAGAAAGTCCAAAATCACTTCAACTGAATTTGTGTCTGCCATTTTCAAATCCCTACCAACCTACACTCAACTCAGGAAACAAAAACACATACCAGACCTCAGAACAAAAAAAAAACCACAAAAGAGCTTTCATCCAAAATAAATACTTTCAAAAAATAAAATAAAATAAAAGACAATGCACATTCCACCAATTGGCAACCATTATTTCCTTATATAAAGGACAAACCCCCCACTTTGCAAGGGTAGTTATCCGCAACCTTAACCTTACATTTTTACAAAGAGACTGTTTCTTCAAACTTGTGACCTTCCCGTCACCAAAAAACAAAACAACCTTAGCACTTGCTCCAATGATTGCCCTCTATTATTTCCTCATATAGACACATACAAAATGAAAATTTGATCATATGTTGGAGAGAATTTCAAAAGCTTACCTCGTATCAGGCATAACAAGGTGGTGTCATTATGCCTCCCCTTCGTCTTTGTATCGTACCTGATTAAAACAGAAAAGAGAAACAAACCCAGAAGCATAAGTTTTTGTTTCTTCTCGAACAAAATATCTTCAGCAACCAAAGACAACGAATTCGTCAAACTCTTTTTTTGTTACTTGAAAACAACGAAACCTAGGCGATGGTTCCAAAAAAAAAAAAAAAAAACGCAAAAACGAGGTGCAGGCCAAAGCTTCTCGAGATTTTCCCAATCACCAATCGGGCACCACTGAAGAAAACCGAAAACACCCAAAACCAATCAACGATATGGGTAGCACAGATTTTCACCCCAAAAATCCACCAATGCCAGAAACAAATAAAAAAATCAAAAATTTGCAAGGTTTTTGCAAAGTGTTGATTTTTCAGAGGAGAACCCAGTTGCCATCAAGATCTGGCATTTACATTCCAGAATGATTTTCTGGGTTTGGGTGGGAAGAAGGAAAATGGGTTCGATAAAAAATGGTGAGAATTTGAGAATTTGAAAAAATAAAAATAATAATAAAAAATAAAAATAAAAATAAAAAAAGAAGCATAGAAAAAGAACCTGGGAGTAGTGTTTGGTTGCTGTTGTTTGTTGTTTTGTGTGTAAAGGCTTTAAGGGGTAACACTCCCTCTTCTTGTCTTGTTCCTTCGTTGCTGTTCTTGCCGGCTCTGCTGATGATTTGAGGTGGTGGAATTAGGACCAAAACCAAAAAACCTTATTTCAAAAGATACTAAAGATGCTTGTGTTGTTCTTTATGTTACATTATTATATATCACATGTAATGAATTTTCAAATGGTTTGGAATCAATTAATAAAGAAAAAAACTTTCTCATTTCAAAAATATAACTTTATCTCATTTTAGTTAATATAATTTCATGTGATTTTAGATTAAATAATATTATTTTAATATATATTTGATATTTTTTTATATTTATTCTCCTCTATTTCTCTCTCCTCCTAATTTTATGGAGAAGAAAAAATATAAAAAATTATCATATATATATATATATTAAAACAACGGGTAGGATATATTTATCACCAAAAATATTTATGACCTTTGCAACTAACTTAATTATCTTTGACTTTCGTCAATCAAAAGGTTATAATTTATTGGATTTATTAAAAATTAATAATTAATTAATAAGTGCGACCCAATAATTTCTAATAAATTATAACTGTTAGATTGACAAAAATCAATAGCGATTATATTGGTTGTAAGAGTGGTAAACTTTTGTGGTGGTAAATATATCGTTTCACTAAAATGATATTGTTTCAACTAAAATAACATAAAATTATATCTTTTAAAATGACAAATATTTTTTCCATAAATAAATAATTAGTTAATTTTATTTTAAGAAAAAAAAATTCATTTCGAAGGACACAAGTCATTTTATGCGAAACGATTTTGTTTTCGTGTATATTTATTATTTTTTATATTTTTTCTCCCAACACTATTCTCAATTTCTCTATTCTCCTAATTTTATGAAAGAAAAAAAGGAAAAGACCAATAAATATACACCAAAATATTTTAAAATGCCGTAAAGTTGGGTCATTGAGAATTACAAATATTAGAATGACATGAAGTTGGATCATTTACAATGATAAGCTATTTTGCCTTATTTTATATCTTTAAATTTAAAAAAAAAAAAAAAAATAAGCAAAACAGAATAGGTTATATTTTATCAAATTTTGTTTGATTTCTTTTTATTTTTAACATTTCAAACTTGCATTTGCTTGGTTTACGTCAATTTTCATTTGGGTTGATGTTGTTCATTTCAAATGATATAAGTTATATTATTTTAGGAGAGAGATAGACACAAGTAGGGGTGCTAAACGAGCCAGGGGCCTTTGGCTCGGCTCGGGAAGGCCTGAGCTTACATGTCTAAAATTGATTGTTGGACCCAGACTTGGACTTGTATAAAAGCTCGTTTAATAAAAAGGCATCAGGCTCAAATTCAAAAGCTCGGCCTTAGAGCCTCTGAGGCTTGCCTAATATATTATTTATTTTTTATTTTTTTATTTTTTATACTACTTGTGATAGCCCTCTCTCTTCTCAAAATCTCAATTCATTTCATCCCATTTTATTAATTAAACAGACTTTTTAAATGATTTTGTTTTATATTATGTTATTTGGATATACATTAAATTTATGAATATTTATGGAATTACTAGTGTTGATGATTGTATATTTTGTTTGGATAAATTTTGGTTGTCTTATTTTTTTTTAAACAGGCTAACAGGCTAAACAAGGCTTTTATTTTTTGAAAATGAGCCAGGCCACAGGCTGATATTATATTCGTAACAGGTAACAGGCTAAGGGGTCAGTCTGACACATTTGAACACAGGCTCGGCCCGTTAAGACCAAAGCTCGGCTCGGCTCGGCTCGTTAACACCCCTAGACACAAGAAATAAAAATCATGAAAAGAAAGTGGATGATTTTTTTTAATTTAAATTTTAAATAAATAAAAATTATTTTGAATTTATCTCTTTCCTAAAATGACATAACTTTATGTGATTTAAAATAAAATCATTTTTTTCCTTTAACCATACTTCAATACATTTTAGCCGTTATTTGATGACCCCAGATGTTTGCCCATTTGGATTTTTGGAAGGCTAAAGGCTTATTGGAAATTATATTTGATGCAGGCACACGAGGTTTGATCATTGGTGGTCCAAATCAAACCTCATGATTCATGCTATATGTTTGACGATATTAATAGAATTAAAATTTATTTAGTTTTATCGTAAAATATTTTAGTATTAATATAATAATTTTATTTCATATCATCATATTTCATATTATTTTATTACATCGCTTTTTATTTCATTTCATTTATTATTAGATATGTAAAAATAACCTTTCTGTTTTGCTCATATTATTTGTATTTAATGATTTTTATAAAAAAAATTATCGAAATGTTTTTATTATTTGATTAAATTTTTATTAATATTATATTGAATATCATTTTCATTTTTACATATTTCAGTCATATTTTATTATTACTATTTGATTTTTTTTTTCTAACCACCATTCTTATACTAATCCTATTGTCTTAAAAAATAAATAGTACAATGTTTAATTGATATCTGAAAGACTGAAATCTAATATTTCTTCTATTCATTAAAAAGGTTCATATAAAGAAGGGCAAATTTCTGGTTTATTTTATAATTATTTATTTTTAATTTTTAAATGCTCGTATTTTTTATCCATATTTCGTTCGCATTAAATTAATAAGTAATTTGTCAAAATAATTGAACCAGTGAAATGGTTATGGTTTTACTTTGTTTCGGTCAAAACCTCAAAATAAACCCCATACACAAAAACCATTCCCGTCACATTATCCATTTTGTCCGTGAAAAATGAAGTTAGTGTCAAATCCCCTTGACCTTTTAAGTTTCATAAGATAATCCTCTTAATATTACTCTACTTTTCGGTAATAAAAGTTCACCTAATTGACTGTATGTACTAAGAATCCTGTATTATTAGCCCAACTTCAAATTGCAAGCAAACTTTCACTTGATTGATGTTACATTATTGTTTTTTATTTGTATTCTCTGATATTCACAACGGCAGTTAAACAACTAATGAATTAAAATTTCATTTTCAATCAACCTGTCGTTTTCTTGCACCAAGTCACTGTAAATTTTTAATAAATTAATTTCTCTTTGTCGCACTTTCAACTTTATCAAGTTCCCAATCCATGTTTCTTTGTCTTTTAGTGAAACGGGTTTTCCTCTTTTTTGTGTACTAACTTTTATCCCTGTCTCCTCTCCTCAGACCCTTTTTCTGAGCAAGAAAATGTTGGACTTCAAATTCAAATGCCTCGTAGCTTATCCATCAAAGAGTTTTATCCCATCAATTTTGACAACAACGGATATAGTGAATTACGCATATATATATATATATATATATATAGGTTTTCGTTTGTCCTTTAACATGACATGATAAAATTTCTTACACACACAATATTTTGTAGGGCCCGGATTTTTTGAAGTAAAAAAAAAAATCTAAGGCACGGAAAACGAATCTCAATAACATTACTCAATCATGTTTCCTACAACATAACTCTTATAAAACTCATATATATATATATATATATATATATATATATATGGTAAAATCATTTCTGCGGATACTTTACGTACACCAACGACAGGTGTATGGTTATGATTCCCCACATTTAATGCTTTCATCTTTTGTATGGTTATGATTCCCAGCTTTTAATGCTTTCACGTATATATATGGCAAGTATTTGATTGCTGCACGTATAGCAGCTGCAGAAAATGTATTCGATTCGAATCACGTAGGATGATATGAAAGATAAAAAATTTCCTATCAAATTCGAACACAACTGTATTTCTATATACTTAACTCGAAATCTTTGATTGAGTTAGAATAACCCCTTATTAAGTGATCCGCATATTTGGTGATCAACATATTTGGGTAAATTGACCGGGTTCTTTCCCCAATGCAAGATCTTATAATTCTCCATCAGGCTCAGGCCTCGGGATTAATTCTTTTCTCATGTAGTTCAACCACGTTAACGGGCTTCCTTGAATGGTGAGGAATTGTCTCCCTGCCGAGTTTGTCCCCCAGATGAATCCGAGGAGGACTCGAATGTCCGCCTTCATTCTCTTTGACTGTGTCAAAATAGCATCCCCTGGATTCCTTTTGATCTCCACAAATAGTAATTATTTCATTGTTACTGCTTACCACTTTTATTTTCTAGTGCTTCGTGGAAACCAGCATGTCCCACTGGTGTATGGTTGGTCTTCCCAGAATTATATTATATTCTGATGGGAAATCAGCCACTATGAATCTCACTCGTTCTGATTTGAACGCTTCTTTTTTACCCAAGGTCAACCTGAGGTGTATGTAGCCTTTAGGAGGTGTATGCTCTCCATTAAAAGCTATTAAGGTCGTTTTGCAAGGTTTGAGGTCCTCCTCATCTAGGTTCATCTTTTTGAAAGCATCCCACAGTATGATTTCGGCACTACTCCGTGCATCGACGAAAATCTTTTTAACTCGGCAATTTACCAAGGTTCCAGCAATGACTAATCGTTCTACGTGTCCCGGCAACACACTATGCATGTCTTCTTTGGTGAAATACAAGAGAGGAGGATCTGGATTGCTTAGGTCTTCCTTGAATTTAGGACGATCTCGAATAGAGATGACCTCTTTCAAATACTTTCTTCTGGCACTTACAGTGTCTCCTCCTCCTCCAAGGGCTCCATTAATTACATTGCAGTCAAATTCCGCTTCCGGGAACTCATCTTGGTTGGAATCATCTTTCTGGTTCCTTTCACCCTTGCTTTTCTTTTCAGGAACCGGGCTTTTACTTCTCTTTCTGTTTCCCGATTTCCTTTTGTTATTTTTGGAACCCTGGGTTTTGATCACATACTGGCGTAATCTTCCATCTCTAACGAATTTCTCCACAGCATCTCGGAGATCCCAGCAATGATCAATAGTGTGACCCGATTCATCATGAAAAGCACAGTACTTGGACTGGTCCCAACCACCTCTGTCGAATACGGGCCGGGGTCTTTCTACTTTCTTCATCTCCGTCATTGCCACTTCCCTCCAAATTTTAGAGTGTGGTGCATTCAACGGTGTGTACTTATCATATCTTCTAACTCGATCTCGG